CAGGCCTCAGTTATGTTGATGCAGGCTTTCACTTTTCTAAACTATTCTCAGATGCTCCTGTATGTACATCTGTATTTATACATACATACATACATACATATTTTTATTATACTATTAAGGACTAGCAGATGACAGTCTTGAAGTCTGGTACCAAATATCAGACCACAGTGATAAACATCTGCATCTCAAGTAGCACGCTCAGTATTATGACAGGTCGTGAATTTCTGAACCGATAAGTAGAGACATTATAGATACACCAAAACAAGAATGAATATGTGTTCATTAATATAAACAACCATCAAATGATGCTCTGCTATATAAGAGATATATGTGATGCTGGTGAGGCAGTATGGGTAGAGCACAAAGCCAGGGGCATCTAATTTGTCAATATTAAATATTAAATGAATATTAAATGAATGAATTCTAATTCAAAACTGAAATTAGCCTCCATTCTTCTCAAGAAATAAAAGCTGATCTTCCTCCTATTCCTTTTATCTCACCAATTACAGGAAGAGTTGGGTAGGTATAGTGCAGTGATGGCAAACCTTTTAGAGACCGAGTGCCCAAACTGCAACCCAAAACCACTTATGCATCATCAAGTGCCGGGTGGGTGTGGCCCATTGGGTGGGCGTGGCTGCGGTGGTAATGGCAGACTGGGTTGGACTAAAAAGTTCAATCAATCAATTTCAACTTTGCAAGATCTTTTTTTTCCCGCGAGAAGTTGAAATTGACTGATTGAACCCCCCCCTTTTTTTTTGCACACGGCAGCAGAGGCCTAAAGCAAAAAGGTTTTATAAAACCTAGCTGAAGGCCTAGGACTGGGGCGACGGCACACGTGCCCACAGAGAGGGCTCTGAGTGCCGCCTCTGGCACCCATGCCATAGGTTCACCACTACTGGTGTAGTGTATGAATAGTGAATTTTGTGTGTGTGTGTGTGTGTGTGTGTGTGTGTGTGTGTGTGCTGAGTATGCTTTAATAGAATTTAAATCAAGCTTCCAGCTAGTTAAGTGTAATTCTTACTGTGACAATAGTCTGAACTGTATAAGGTCTTTAAGGATCTATTATAACACCTCAAGCCTTAATTTTTTTGGCTTACTACTTGCTACTCCTTTTCTGCACTTTGCACAATGTTTTCATCAAAAGAAACTAGCAGGATGGGTATGAAAAGAAATGGCCATGGAAAAAATAAAATGAGAGTTATAGGAGAAAAGTTACAGGAGATATTTAGAATCGAATGAATGAGAATCAGGATTTATAGGCCAGTAGACAGTTTAGTTCAAGAACTGTTGGTTTTGTTGCTCCTAGCACCATATTGAAAGTTATCTGAGCTTTGGCAGTCTGGCCTGAACCATCTCTGCACAAATTCTGGTGTGTGTGTGTGTGTATGGGGAAGGTTGAAAAGATAATATTTCTCCTTTTTTTCTTTTTCAAGGCCATTTTTAGGGAAGAAATGTAAAACCATTTTTAGCTCTCCAGCTCAGTTCCATGCTGTCTGAACCAGAAACCTTGCCACTTTGCAATGTGTGCAAAAGGACAGACTGTGATTATTCAGTTTATTTTTAGTTTATCATTAAAAGATCAGGGCATACAATATTGAATAACAGACAAACCCACAGAACAAACGCAATCTGTATTTCTTCTCATTTTTTTCTGTACAATCTGTAAAGAACCTAAGCAAAAAAAAAAATGAAAAGAAATACAAAGTATCTTAAATCTTAAAACCAGATGAGACAGACAATACAGAAAAATGCTGCTGGAGATATCAAATCTTTAATCTGACAGGGGATAAAAAAGATAATATGCAACTCCCTTCCTGGAAAACAGCTTAAAAGGGGTATAATCAATGTCATTAAAAAATAATGACAGAACAGGAGGCACCTGTTTCATAGTTTTCACCTCACCGGCCCCACAAATGGTAAAAACATTTGGCCTTAGGGGCCTGGTTTATGATTCACTTTCTGATAAATAAACATAACTCTGTTTGCTTGCCTTGACTTTGGCCTTTCATTATGAATCTAAATCTACTTAAGACCCCAAGTGATGATGTTGTGCGTCAAATTGATTCAGCTTTGTAATTCTGCTTTATTTGGCTCCTATTTCCATTTAATTCTCTGCTGTTTCTGCTATGATTAAACGTCTCTTGCTCTTTTCCTTCAGCAACATAAACTTTTTGTTGCTCTTATTAAGGATATTGGCTTTTCAGTGTTTGTGGAGAGATTTAGGTTTGTTTATTTTTTGCTGATTTAGAGTTCTGTAAAACTCTTCCTTTGCTCCTTATGGATGGCAGCCCATACCCTGAAAATATAATAGCCTCAAAGCCTTTGTCTTTGTGGTATAAAGCAAGGGTCCCCAACCTTTGCAATTTTAAGGCTTGTGGACTTCAACTCCAGCTGGCTGGGGAATTCTGGGAGTTGAAGTCCACAGGTCTTAAAGTTGCCACAGTTGGGAACTCCTGGTATAAAGGATTACATCCTACTTAATCTTGGGTGCCAATTTTAATATATCATTTCTTCCCAGTTCTTTTCAGCTGTGTCTGTTAAGCATTTATTCTATATGAGTTTTATCAAAAATTGTCCAAGACAAGACTATATAAAACTCTAGCTAATGCGTCAGTTGTGGTTCTATATTAAGCAAGATGCTTTGTTGACAGTTACTTATCCTCTAATCATATTACTGAACTACTACATTGCACACCACAGAGGCTGACCTTTGAAGATGATTTGGAAGCTTTAACTGGTTCATAATGCTACAACTAAGTTGGTAGCTTGGAAAAGTAGTTTTTGAAAGTATAAGTTGATAGCTTTTGAAAGTATATCCCTATTCTTAGACTGCTGCATTGATTATCAGTACGGTTTGGGGCCTGATTCAAAGTGCTGGTTATCATCTCTATAGCCCTGTATAGGTAGTCATCACTTATCTACTGTCTTGTTTAGCAACCATTCAAAGTTATGATGGTGTAAAAAAAATCCAACTTTGAAACCAATCCTTCCATTTGCAACCATCACAGCATCCAGGGGACTGGAGGCTAAAACATATAAGGAACGGTTGCTGGAATTGGGTATACCTAATTTAATGAAGAGAAGGGTGAGGGGGGACATGATAGCACTGTTCCAATATCTCAGGGGCTGCCACAAAGAAGAGGGAGTCAAGCTATTCTCCAAAGCACCTGAAGGCAGGACAAGAAGTAATGGATGGAAACAAACCAAAGAAAGAAGCAACCTAGAACTAAGGAGAAACTTCCTGACAGTTAGAACAATTAACCAGTGGAATAACCTGTCTCCAGAAGTGGTGAATGCTCCAACACCTCAGTTTTTAAGAAGAGACTGGATAGTCATTTGTCTGACATGGTATAAGGTTTCCTGCTTGAGCAGGGGGTTGGACTAGATGACCTCCAAGGTCCCTTCCAACTTTATTTTTTATTATTATTATCCCATGGTCATGTGACCATTATGGTCCCAATTGAAATCACTAAACAAGGACAATCTTGTATGGTACGGCACTGGGATATGACAGAGATTGCTTCAAACATGATTCTATCCTTCTGCTCCAATCAGGCTGTATTCACATAATATAGTAATTTAGCCTACCCAAATCTAATTTTTTTTTTCAGATGTGTGGATTTCTCAGTAATATCCTTGGGGAATTTTGGAGATTAAGTCTGAAACTCTATAGGGCACAGAGGTTGAAGACAATTGCACTCAAGTATTCAGTTATAAAGTTGAAAGGGACATTACTGTAAAAGTCATCTAATCCAGTCCCCAGCTCAGTGCATGATTCAGCAAAGGAGGACTTGTCACTTTATTGACTGTATTGACTGACAGCTGTACAATTAGGAAATTCCTTCTGACATTTAGTCTAAATTTCCTTCCTTGTAGTTATAATATACTGACTCTGGCCCTGCCCCCTAAGGCATCTAATAATTTGACTCTGTCTTCTATGTGATAGTCCTTCAAATATTTGAAGACAGCAATCATGTCCGCACAATACTCTCTGGATTCTGTACTCAGTATAGAATTCAGATCCTGTATTCATTCCACATAGTACTTGGTTTCCAGATTCTTCATCATTTCAATAGCACTTTTGCATTGCAATTTGTCACTGTCCATTTTGCATTGTGGAGCTCAAAAGAGGATGCAATATTTCAAGTAGAGTCCCACCAGGACACAGTAGAGATGAATATATTCTTCCAAATCTGTATACTCCTGCTAATGCATCCAATGGGAAGGAGATTAGCCTGTACCTAAAGCAACGGCTCCCAACCTTTTCTATACATCGCACCCCTAGAATGCTTCTGATATATTCTCACACAAAAGTTCAAAATAACAGCAATGAATTATGCATATACATTCTAATTTTGAAAACCCAAGTCTCACACTCCCAGGGGTTGGGAACCCCTGACCTAAAGAGTGTTTACAAAATTCTATTAGTCTTCTAGCCAGCGTTAAGAACCAGCTTTCACACTTATATATAATGGCTATCTTCACACAACAAAATAATGCAGGTCACAGGCAACCCTGAGCCTTCATGTTGCTGTGACCTGCACTATTAGGAGGAGGGAGATTCTATACTTTTAATATACTGATTTTGGAGCCAGAACGGATTTTGCTTTTACTAGTGCCAAGATGATTTACCCAATAAAGTTTTGTATTAGAGATTGATTTGTCTCAGCTGTGCTTACTTCATTGGCTTCGTCAGTCGGAACCATGACAACACCATTGAAATCAGTGACTAAATGGCCAAAGTTTAGATGCATGGATTTTTTATTTTAAAATAATTGTGGGAAGGAATGTGTTAAGTTCCTGCAAGACAAAACATATCCACTTCCTCCTTAATCTTTCCCCAGGTGTCCTCTCAAATGGGTCCAAAAATATTTAGCACCATATCCTTAATGATACTGATATAGCTTTACTGAGATTAAAGAATAAGGATATCTAAGCAAATTAAGTTCCTGCTGGCATTTAAGCACCAGTAAAGTGGGAAATACTGGACAGTTAATTACCTAAGCAATTTCTCATCTGGATGCAACTTCAAACAGCTGAAGAACTCAACGGATGTGTTGTCAGTTTATTCCCATCATTTGTAAAGTTGACAGGAATCAGACATTTCCTTTGGAGGAAACCAGAGGAACAAAGGTCAAAGAATATTATGCAAACTAAAGTAGAAGAGGAAGAAAGGGAAAAGTTAGAAGTGCAAAAAAGAAAAAGAAAATATAAAGAAATGACTTCCAATCTTTTTCATTGTAAGTTATAAGTAAAATTGTATTTAACTTATACAGTTATAAGTAAAATTATAAGTAATAAGTAAAATTGTATTTTAAACTCTGTCTCGGGTTATATCCTGACTCTTCTTTTTATAATCTATCCTGATTAATCACCACTGTTCAGAATTACATACTGCAATAATCCCTAAAATAATTACATTGGTTGGGTCCCTACAACGCTAAGCCAAAACCTAGCAAGTCACATTTTATTGTAAGTGCCAACCCAACCAACCAAACAAGAACTTATTCACAGCTTGTCTTTTCAAGTGATTTTCTCATCCACCATTTGCAAATTCTTTTGTTAAATGCTATGATTTCCATCCAAACTTGCTTTCAAGAAAACCAATATAAATTTCTCTGAAAGTTATCCAGATAGGTAATTTTGTGCCCTTCAGCTCAAATTAATTCAGCCAATTACAAAGGACTGTGGAAATTGTAGTCAAAAATGCCTGGAGGATACCAAGCAGCCCATTCCAACAATAATCAGGGTAGCCCTCAAAGGTGGTGCTTAACTTCGCTTGGCTAGGGAGGCTGCCTTTAAATACACGTAGTCCTCAATATAGGATCACAATTGAATCCAAAATTTCTGTTGTTAACTGAGACATTAGTTTTCTTCTTTTTATGACCTTTCTTGCCACCGTTAAGTGAATCACAGCAGTTGTTAGGTTAGGGACACTATTATTAAGTCTGGCTTCTCCGTTGATTTTGTCAGAAATTCACAAAAGGGGATTACATGATCCCAGGACACTGCAAGTTATAAATATGAGTCAGTTGCAGAGTTTGAATTTTGATCACATGACCATGAGGATGCTGCAATGGTTGTAAGTCTGAAAAATGGTCCTAAGTCACTTTTTTCAGTGCCATTGTGACTTTGAACAGTCATTAAATGAACTGCTGTAAGTTGAGAACTACCTGTATATTATTTTACAGCTCAGCCAGACTCTTAAACACGAGTAATCTCTTTCAGGGGCAGCTGTCGCAGGGGAAAATGCTGTGCCAGGTAATGTCCTTTAATTAGGGCTCATATGCAGTTCGTCTAGCGAAGAATGCCGCAGGGGAACGATTCCCAGTTTGACTCGAACAAAGATAGCTCAAAGAGCTGGATCCGCTCTGACGTTCTGTACGGCCAGCTGAGCCACAGCCTGACTTTTCGGCATTCCCAGAAGAAGATCTGCGCGCAGCTGCTTCTCCTACCTGAGCAGCGCGAAGACGCGCCCCTCTAGCCCTGCCCTGTCCTGCCAAATTGCTCGACTGCTTGGACCCTGCCGCTTGCCGTCTTCTCTCTCTCCCTCTCCCTTCCTCTCTCTGCCTCTCTCTTTGGCTGAGAGTAACAGGAAGCGCTGCCGGCGCCTCCGAACCTACTGGCGGGGCGAGCCATGGAGTTCTCGGAGGAGAAGTTGCGGAAGTGGCTGAGCAAGGCAAGCGGCGAGACTGGGCGGAGGAGTTTTAGTAGCGCGAGCCAGTGGAAGCTCTAGGTTCGGCGCCCCCAATTTTGGAACGCCTTCCCTGGCTTGAAGGGAGAGGGAGCGACTACCTGAATCCACGATTAAATCAATGTTTTTCAAACTTGGCAGCTTTAAGAGGTGTGGACTTCAACTCCCAGAATTCCTCAGCTAACATGGCTGGTTGGGGGAATTTTGGGATTTGAAGTCCACACCTTGTAAAGTTGCCCAGTTTGAAAAACATTGCATTCGATCGGGCTTCCCTTGCCCTCTCCCGCTTGATCGATTTCTTCCCGTTTGTTGGCGCATAAGCTATTGGATCTGATCTTCCCTGGTCAGCCACTGTAAATGGTGCATGCTTTTGCGCGGTTTCCTCAACCCTGCAGCATTAGGGAGTTTTTTTTTCCCCCTTTCGGCTTCAAACCTTGGCTATTTCCTCCTTAATAATTTATACCATCGAATCCTATCACTTTTCTTTGGTTCTGGGAATAAAAAGCGTACATTCATCATTATTATGCTAGGACAGGCATGTTTGATGTACTATCTCTTTTCTATTAAGCTGATCTCCTGATGGACCCAGGAATTAATTAGTAATTATTGAGAAAATAGCCTGTAATTCTATTGAATAAATCACAAAGGGGTGGGTACGTAATTCATTATTCATGCTGTTCTTCATAGTCCCCAAATCATAGTATGAACATATCACAGAAACAGCCTTTTTCTGCTCTGTTCTCATGGAGGTTATCTTTCTCTTAATCCCAGCTGGAGCTAAAATACCTAAAGTCCCTAGCTGTTTCTTTTTTAAAAAAATAGACCATTTGCTCTTAGAACTCCTTCCAAGATGGATCAGGAACATTGCTTGAGCATTATTATCTTCCACTTCATCCTGTGCCCTTTCTCCATGCCCGTGCACTCTTTGTTTTGATACTGTGTAGGAGAATAGCCTCTATTCACAAATACTGACTGAAGCATTGAGCTGAGTGTAAGGGCATGTCATTGCACATTCACAAGCTCTAAGAGGCAACTGGCCAAATGATGACTAAATTCACTGTTATAAGCCCCAACTTCATTTACCTGACTCTCCCCATCTTGTGTTAAGGAGAATGAATGGTGGTTGATCCCCTACTTGCAAGAGGGAGGGGAAACAAATCTGTGGGAATCCACCAATCCTTTCCCTTAATTTGGCCTACAGCATGTAAAGATAATACTCTTCACCAGCTTTGTTACTATTGCTGAGTAAGAATAGAGAACAGGACAGTTTATGCTGACATACTGTTCTGCCAGCTCAGAGACTGGTGGATTGGATAGCATTGTAAGTCTAGCCCAGACCATAAACACTCCTTTATGGTTTAGGATAATGTTTCTTATATAATACAAACTTTGCTATGAAAGTGTATCTTCTACTGCTTACTGCTGCTTGTGATGTCTACAGTCAGAGCATGATTTGGTCTGCTCATAATGTTGAAGCAAACATGCCACAGGGCTGTTCCTGAATGTCGTCATAAGAGTCTCACACAAAATAAGCTCCTGCAAGAACTAGCTACAGCATTGACTTTCTCCCTATCTCAATGTGGTCAAGTGTATTGTGACACCCCCCCCCCCATCTCACCTGGAGTCTCCCAATCCACTTAAGTCTGCAATCCTCCTAAATTCTGTTAAAATGTTTTAATCACACAGATTAATGTTTTAATCACACAGATCCTGATTTTATTATCAAATCACCCTTTCATGTCCTCTTTCCCACATTCCCTGGAAATTTTGCTCAATGGAGAATTCCACATATGTGTGTTCACGGTCTTGTGCAATCTGAGTTGCTGTTTAATCATTTTTCTTTCACATGGCTCTGTAGTTCATGTTTAAGATGACTGAAATTGTCTTTCTTATGTCTCCAGTATAAATTCCGAGATCTTACAATAGAAGAACTGAAGCACATAAATGAGTTGTGTCCCAACATCAGGTTCACAATGAGCACCTACAGTAAGAATTCATGTCTAGGGATAGATACATTAACTTGCATTTTTCAAAAATTGGGGGAATCTTATAAATCAAGTGAATAAATAAAAAGTGAAATAAATGCTGAATATTAATATACTATAGGTGGCTATTATTTAACCATTTATGTTCTGCATAAATAATATAATAGTATAACATGCATATTAATAGTATGTATTAGGATTTACACCCATTGTTTCCTTTGAATTATTTGGGCAGTATGCATGGGATTGCAATCTTACTGTATAATTTTCTTAATTTTTCAGCAGTTAATTGATCACTTTTATTATTATAACTTTTACAGCAATGGCATGGTAAAGCACATTGTATATTTATATGTTGCTATTTTTTAATATTAGCATTCCTATAATTTTTGACTAGATTTTCTATAGCATTATGTTGCCTTAGGTTTAGAAAATCTATGTTTTGCTGAATTTACTTTTTATGTCCTATTGTGATGCTTTGAAATTCTATGTAATTTCTATTTGTGTGTGTGTGTGTCTGTATAATGCTTTGATTTATTTATATCCCACCTTTATAATTTTTACAAATAACTTAGGGTGGCAAACATATCTAACACACTTTCATCCTCCTGTTTTCCCCACAACAACAATCCTGACAGGTGGGTTGGCCTCAGAGAGAGAGCGACTGATCAAAAATCACCCAGCTGGCTTCCATGGCCAAGGCAGGATTTGAACTCCTGGTTTCCTGCTTTCTAGCCCAGTGCCTTAATACACACAGACACACATTTTAAAAAATTAATAAAATAAATGACTGTTTTAACTAATTTGAAATGTTAGAAACAATACATATCAGTACTAAATTGAGAGAAATTTAAAAGGAAAGATTAAATCCCTGGTGATATAACGTTTTGAATTTCAGCTTTTAAAGATGGATCCCAGAAAGATCTTCTGAACTTTACTAATATTGTTCCAGTAAAATATCAGGGTGAGTTCAAAGAATGTTTCCTTTATATTTCTTGGTATTTGAATATTTCATTCTGAGTAATATATTATGAAATGTATTTGTATACAAAATTTATATGTTGCTTAAATCACAGGCTATAAACAGCTTACCACTAGTACAGGGGTGTCAATCTCAATTTCATTGAGGGCCGCATCAGCATTGCGGTTGCCCTCAGGAGGCCAGGTGGCCTACTGGGTGGGCGTGGATGGAGTGGGCGTGGCCTACTGGGTGGGTGTGGCCAGCTCTACATCGTTCGTGTCGAGGGTGCCTGTGGGGGCCGGGGCAGGAGTGGGACAGATCTGAGGGTCTCTGACAGAAGGGGGTGGGACCAGGGCAAGTGCCAAGCATGGTCCACTGGAGGAGCCTCACTGTTCCTCTCAGGCCATGGGGGGGGGTGTTGGTGGTGTGGGCTGCCCGGAGCCCTGGGCAGCAGAGGTCAAATGCCCAGCCTGGCCCTTGAGCACCCGCGGCACCAAGCCCAGCCCCACTTCCTCAAGGCTGCTGCTCAAGGTTCTCCTGGTTCCTCGTTGTTTCCAGACAGCCTTGAAGAGCTAAGACTGAATGTGTTTCGGCATAGATGGCCACCACAAAGTTGTACACTGGCTCCCAGCTGGCCTGGGCCAGGGACAAGGCAGAGGGGGCTGTTCCCTCATTGTTTCCAGGATGGCTTCGCAGGCCACATGAAACCACTTCATGGGCCGCATCCGGTCCCTGGGCCTTGTGTTTGACATGTCTACACTAATATAATAAGCAGATAATAAAATAAACCAACTTTAGTAGCATAATCTGAAGCAAAGGGTCTGGATCAGTATGGGAAGAAATACTTTGCAACCCCTTCCATCCCAGTCTACTTATTTATGTGGATGGCTCTGATAAAATAAAAAGCAGGAATTTATAGTACAGCAGCCTGAAGTAAGAAACAAAAAGCCACATTGTCTGAGTTAGACAACTCGGCGACAGAATAACTAGACAGTGCTAAGTGACAGAATAAGTAAACCGAATGCTGAAGTTTCTTAGCAAGAAAGTTTATGCTATAATGGTGAAAATTAAGCAGCAGAAAAACAAGAAGAAAATCTGCAGCTGGCTAAGCGTGAAGCTGAAGCTGCAACAGTGGGGGAATAGGGGGAGATAAAACTCCGTGAAGGTCAGGAGGAGATTCAGCAACAGTTAAAATAACAGACTTGGCACAATGCTGTAGAAGCAGGCCTTTGAAGAGGTTTGTGGATGGATGTGGGCCAGAGAAAGTCCATGGATGGAATCTCAAAAAAATAATCCTTGGCTCTAATTAGTGCAGCAGCTATCCCAAAGGTCTAGCAATAGACTTGAGAGGAGATCATAGAGCTAAGAAAGGAAAGAGCTATCAAAAAGGTCTATCAGAGGAGACCTACTGAAGAAGCTACAGTGGTGATGCTCCACCAAAGAAATCCAGCAGTAGAGAGCTGCCAGATGTTATAGAGGCTGACGTTTTCTGGAAGGGGGCAGTGGGTGATAAGAACCTCAAGGGAGATAAGAACCTCAAGGGAGACTACAGTAGGTCCTCTTAGTTAAATAGCCTGAGTAGCCAGCTCAATGACAAACCCTAGTGGTTCACAGAGGAACTACAAGGACCCCCACATCAATCCAGTCTGGAGGGGACAACAGCATACACCCTGCCTCTTAGAATGCAGCCTGTGGAAGGAAGCTTATTCCCACCCCAAATCAAACTACCCTATTCATGGGATCTCCCTGGGCTTGTTATCATCTTAAACTGAATTTACAACAAATAATACCCAGTAATTATCAAGTCGGCAAATCAGTTTTCAGTATCAAAAGTTAAAAAATTAACCCAAGTCCAATAGTAAATACTCACTGGATAACAAATCTACAACTCATATGTAACATGTGCTGTACTGTCTCTCTTCAGAAGAATAGAGTTTTAACTCTATTCCTGGAAAAATCAAAAGAAATTAAGGAGCAGCTTTAACTTGGGGAAGGGGGACGGCAAAACATTTCAAAGGATGGGCACTGATTTTCCATCCATGTCATGAAGGGTTGTGGACTCTTTCGCTCTGCTAGGTGAAAGGAGAAGCATAATATACGTGGAATCTTTGGTAAACACATTTTTATTTTGTATTTTGATAGGTAACACTTATAATATTCCAATTTGCATATGGATTTTGGATTCTTATCCTTTTACTCCACCCATTTGTTTTCTAAACCCTACTGCTAACATGGGAATTTCTGTAGGAAAACATGTAGATGTCCGCGGAAGGATTTACTTGCCCTATCTACAAGCCTGGAGCCATGTAAGAATTAGATAAATGCATGACATAAAGTTATTAAAGTTATTATTAAAATTTATATAAAGGTAATATACCTTACCTTTGTATCTCTTAGCAGCATCTATCATTTTCTACATATAATTATATATATAAATATTTGCTATATAAGATAAAATACAATTTACCTGAATACAAAATAATTATCTTTATGCACTTAGAATGGATGGTAGTATTAGGTTTTCAGGTTCCTTATCAACAAAGTCAAATCAACCAATCTTACTCAGGAGTGGATGAAGATTTTGTCCTCAAAAAATGTCTTTTTTTCTTTTATCCACCCACCCATCCATTCTTTTTTTATTTGATTTTTATTTTACTACCATTTAACCAACTGTCAGCAGGTTACAAATACAACAAAATAAAAATACAGAAATACAGAAAAGGACTAAAACGCATAAAACGTACAATACAAAAGTGGTGTCACAACTCAGATGCCTCTGGAAGAACTTGGTGTCCGGCATCTTCCAAAACGCGAAGAAGGCAGGAGCTGATCTAAAGGTGCCGAAGAAGCTTCTTGGATGAGAAGCAAAACGTCTTCAAAAGAAAAACAAGAAAATCCAAATATCTAAATTTAGTTTAGATATCTAAAGGGCTATCTTAAAATTTTACTAGAAAGTGTTTGTATATGGTATATCTGTTATATAAATAAATTCTAATTTGTCCTGTATCTATTACAGCCACAGTCAGAAATTATAGGGTTGTTAAAGGAAATGAGCATAAAATTTGAAGAGGAACTTCCCTTATATGCATTATCATCTTCTGATGAAGTCAGACAGATGGACCAACTTTCTTATATAACAAAAATTGTTGAAGGTATTCATCTTTCCTGGAAATTTCTTATCTGGAATTCATGTGCATAATTCATAATATCTTGGTAATTTTGTTTTGTAGTTTCCTGGAAGAGTCCAAATCAGTAAGTTATTACATTATAGCAGCAAAGCGTAGGATCTGGATCAGGTGTATTCAACCCATGGCCAAAGGGCTGCACAAGACCCTGGACAGCTAGTAATATTGCCCTAAAAGATCATAACTATTAATATTATGTGATTTTAGTGATAGTTATGCATATCCTAACTATATTTATATGCAGCCCCAAACCATTCTTTTTCACTCAAGGCAGCCCAGGTAAGCCAAAAGGTTGGACATGCCAGATCTAGAACAAATTTGGCGCAGTGGAAAGCCTTTCTTTTATTACACTTTGGTCCTTTTAGTGTGAACTGGAAATAGTTAATCAAGGAATCCAAGGAATTTGAGTTACTACTGGTATATTTATTAGAAGGAAATTTTAAGATACACAAGAATTCCAGCAAATACTTTCAAATGATATACCTATGTATAGGCAATTTTGTAGATCAAAATTCATCAATGCCATATAGTTTCTGAAAAATTAAAGACACGTTAGTTTCCTTTCTTAAATCTGCTGTGCCTAGGACCAAGCTATAAGTGTATTTTTGAATTTGGTATTGCTTGTATCGACCAAATGTTTGTGTAACGAACAGTTGGAGTGGAATAATAGCCTTTGCCAAATTGGAAACATACAGAGGGAAGTCTTTGCCCTTTCCTCAGCTTGGATTGGAATCAGATCTTGTGTGGGAACAAATCTTCCATTAGTTCCAACAACAATATTTCTATTTTTGGCTAGAAAAAAAAATCACGTTGCAATCCTTTGCGTGTTATCTGGGGGAATAAGGTAAATAGAACACAGCAAACATACCTTTAAGTACTGTAAACATCCATGCGTAGGATTTGTTTGGATAACTTTTTTTTTATTTTTCAAATACCATAATTAAAGTTAAGCTGATCAAGGAATTTTTAAAAATTATTTTCATGGAGCATCAGCATTTATGACGATGCATATTTGTTTATATAAATAACGTGCTTTTTTTTTTTAGGTGAAAACAATGGAAAGTCAAAGGGAGAAGGAAAGAAAAATGATGGAGATTTACGCAAAGTTACAATAGTTGGGGCTGGAGATCTGGGCCTTGCTTGTATTTTGGCTATTTCAGCAAAGGTATGCACTTTATACAGAGTTACTGCTATGCTCGTTTCTTTTATAAATTTTTATTGTAATAAAATAATTGGGGGAGGGGAATACTTGGGATCATATTCACAGAACACGTTCTCCATAAAAATCTTCTAAATTATGGCTGGTGGTAATTACTTTATTAGAGATGGATAGTGGATTCCTAGGTATGTTTATTAAGAAAGCATTATTTTCTCACTGCAGAATGTTTTTGTAGGATAAATTGTTGCATTAGGTACCAGGGTTCAATGGAAAGTAATACTGCCAATGTTATAGGTCACCAACAGATGGCAGTACAGATATGCTAGAAGTTTTGACATGTTCTTTAGCATCTGTTCCACTTTAGTTTATGGGATGTCACTGTGAGAAAAGATTGTGTTTCTATAGTTCATGAAAGTGCTTGTCAGTGTGCTTTAAGCAATCATAATTTAATGTTTGACTACCAAAAGAGTCCCTCTAGTTTAAATTTACTGTTGAATACAAGTTGTTCATAATGATGATTGCATTGACATGAGTACTGTATATGTCTGGGCCACAAAATGTAAACATGGTGAATGGGAAGAGCTGATTTGTGTGATCATGTGAATAACAGTAACCATTAAATTTCAAATGAGAAAGGTTGATGAATTGATTAAGGACAATTAGAGAATTACACAAAAGGAAATTGCTGTCATGCTTGGCATTTCCCAGGAATGTGTGGGTCACATTATTAATGTTTTTCAATACCAGAGCTTTGTGCAATTTACTGTAGGTTCCTTATTTACTGATGAAAGCTTCAAAGGTTGAAATTTGCCAGTAATCATGTTAAGCTATGAGAACAGAAGTGAGAAATTTCTTCATGGCATTATCAAAGGGAAGAAAACATGAGCTCATTGTTATGATCCTGAAACAAAGTGTCTGTTATAACCCTGGTGGTCAAGGCAAGGCAGGCCTCTAGAGCAGGGCTTTTCAACCTTTTTACTGATTGTACCACTTTTAGGATACGGCAATATTCGAGTACCACCTAGCAAGGTGTAAAAAACTTGATGACCCCCCCCCCAAAAAAACCTGTTCAAAGTTGCAATTGCACTGAAATGACTTATGACCATTTTCACACTTATGACCATTGCAGTGTGCCCAGGGTCATGTGATTTATATTTGAATGCTTGGCAACTGATTCATATTTATAATGGTCACAGTGTTCCAGGGTCATGTGATCCCCCTCTGCAACCTTTTGACAAGCAATGGCAGAGCTGCTGGTAGCCAAGTGCTAAGACGGGACTTCCTTTCCTCCCTTCCCTTCCCTCCCTTTTTCTCATTCCCATCTCCTTCTGAAGGAAGAATTTGAATCCCCACCATATTTTCCCTCTTCCATATATTGATCAAACAAGGAAAGGTCTCCAGAGACAGAAAAGACAAGCTGCTGAGTGAACTAGCTTAAAAAGGCACCTTCCCCTTTAAGAATTAGCTACTGGCTAGAAAGGAAGGTAAGGACTGCAGCCGGCACTTAAGGAAGAAAAAAAAATGTAAGTACTCCCCAAATGGGTCCATTCATAAGTATAGGAATGCTACAGGAAAAATCCATTCAGGAGAAAAATAGTTCAAAATCCCTTGCGGCAAAACTTATAGCTAACAACAGCAGAGCAATAGAAGCTAACACGAGACATCAGCCATCAGTCAAATAGAAATTGCCAAACACTCCTTAAAAACACAAAGCCCACATTGCACAAATCCCAGAACTTCAAATTCACAAAAGCACATAAGAATCCTTCCACTCTCCATCTCCCTCCCTCGTGCCTCACCTCCAGCCATTGCTGCCTTTTTTCATTCTTCTTGGAGGGTGACCCCTCCCCCGCTGCATTTCTTGCCTGTTTGCTGCTGCCAGCACAGGTGGCTGCCACAGCAGTTATAAATCAGCTCATAGCCAGCCTGCTTGATCTCCTCTCCTCTCCCCCCACCCTCCTCCTCCTCCTCCTCCTTCTTTCCCTTCGGTGCAGCTGACTCTGCCTCCTCCCAAGGCTTTTTTTATCTCTTCCTCTCCTGCCCAAACTGCCTCCTTTTATAGCCTCTCCTGTGTCCGCCACCCTCCTCCTTTCTCATGGGGGATGGTGAGCCAGAAGTGAGCCTGGGGCCTTTGCAGCTCCAGAGGACTCTCCCACTGTAAGTCCTTGCCTGTGCTGGCTCTTTCCCTCCCCCACTACACTTGGCTAGGCAGGGCTGCATACCACCTGCCACTCATTAATGTACCACAAGTAGTACGTGTACCACCGGTTGAAAAGCCCTGCTCTAGAGAGTCTTTTATTTATCTCAACAAATGGTCCAGCAAATGGCCCTCCAATGACTGGTAAGCCTCCACCTCCACACTATCATGAAGGCACCACCCTCAGTCCCCCAGCATCACCTCAGCCCCTGGCCTCTCCAAACATGTGAAGGAAGGCGTGCCATTCCTGTTGGATGGTCCCAGTTCCAACTCCTCCTCCTCCAACCCGGGCTCCAATGGGGTCATGACAGTGTCAATCCATGGACTATCATCACAAAGATTCATCCGTGAGGGGAAAAACATTCAAAACCCAAGTTTTGGTATGAAACTCGTGATTACAGTCTTTTGGTATTATTCACATGGATTTCTGTGAACCTGTCACCATTATTATTGTTGCAACACTCCAGACTTTGAAACAACAGTTAAGTGGAGTTCAGAAGCTCAAGAAAGGAAGTTTTTTGCAACATGACAACTCTAGGCCTCACACCTCACTAGTCACTAAAGAGGCAATTGCAAAGGTAATTCTCACTCTCATACACAATCTGACATGCAGTCCGAACTTGGTGCCATGCAACTTCACCTTTTCCCAAAATTGAAGAAATGCTTTTATGGACATGTGTTTGATTCAAATGGAAAGAATTGTCAGGATCTAGTTGAACGAAGTTCTTTTGTGACAGCTTCAAGAAACATGTCCAGAAGTGTGTAATGAATAGGTGATAATGTGGACAAGTAGGTACAGGTGACAAAAGATTCATTTTGAGTTTATTTTTATGTTCCTTGTATTAAAATATCTATTTAAACTAAAGTTATGAAAGTAGAGGCATTACCTTTAATTCAACTATCTTATCTTCAAAGTATCATTGATATTGAGGTTTATTTATTTAAAATAGAAATTAGACATGAGGCATTTCATTAGTAGTAGAACAGAGGTCTCCAACCTTTCTGGGCTCATGGCCCGGAGGGAAGGGAAGCAGCTTTGCAAATTGGCAAGTGCACGTGTGCGCACGCAAACAGGGCCACACGGCACTAGTGGCCCCGTTCGCGCATGCGTGTATGCTCTAGCACCATGTGCATGTGCGAACGGCTAGGCACACCCTCCCCCATGGTGGCTAGCGGCCCCATTCACGCATGCGCAAATGGGCCACGCACACCCCTGGTGCTAGCCGCCCTGTTTGCGCATGTGCAAACAGGCCATGGACAACCACCTGGCACTAGCGGCCCCATTCACGCTGTGGGCACTAGCGTGAGTGGGGGGGGGAGTGCACGCGGGCACACTCTGGCCAGTCATTCTCATGGCCCGCTGGTCAAGAAGCTGCGGCCTGGTAGTGGGCCACAGCGCATAGATTGGGGACCCCTGTAGTAGAAGACTTGAGAGCTATTAAATAGATTGGCTTGGCTGAAAAGATGGCCTCATTCTTCAATGCAGTTTTTTACTTATAATTCTTTAAAAAATATTGAAAATGGAGGAATTTTAAAAACAGATTGTGATGCATCTTACTGGTCTATGGAAGAAAAAGCTTAACATTTCTGTAGTATGAATGTGTGATTAATATATCACAATTCTAGCATGTTCAAGAAAGGAAGGATTATTGCAAGGAAATCAGTATTACAGTAAGTAGATACGTATTGATGTTTGATTGGTTATATGCCTTCCAAAACAGGATAGTTTATTTTATTTGGCTTTTGTTTGACATCCCAGTCACATATACACAAGGGGAATGAAATATTTGATCTATGGAATATCTAATTATTTTAAGTAAGTTTGCATAGGAAACTAACTGATCTTCTCTAAACTTGCTGTTATATAAACATTTTGATGCCTCAAGTACGTTTCTTAGTAGTAAAAAATAAGTAGAATTCAGGCAAATAGGCCTATCCTGAACTATACGTGGTCTGTTTTAATCTTCTTCAAACAAATGTTCGTACAAAAGAAAAAGACTGATGGTTTAATGATACTATCATTAATTTATATACAAATAAATAATATTTAAAAGGATAAGATGTCATCATGTTCTTGATCCAATTTTTAAATACATGGTTTTATTGCCAATGCTTAAAAGGTGCTTTTACTGCAGACATTTTTTTCATCTAATCTCAGAATAAAATACTTCTGAACTCAGTATAATTTTCGATTAGATGCATTAGGATTTCATTTTTACTTTCTTTTTAGTTTTAGTTAGACATTGATATTTTAAAAAATAGCTGCTGGACTTTGTGAACTGTTGTTCTTGTTGGATTGAATCCCACAGAATTCTTCTCAGAAGACAATTCCTATTTGCTTTGATAAAGAATATTTTCTTTCTTTCTTTTGAATCAATTTAGGATGTTGCTGACAAGGTGGTTGTTTTGGACTGCTCAGAAGCTACAATGAAAGGAGGAACAATGGACCTAGAAATCTTTAACTTGCCAAAGGTGGAAATTAGTCGAGGTAGTGTTACAGTATATAGTGTCCTCTAGCAATATTGCAAACTGAAGTGTGCACCTGCTTGGCAGAGTGCTAACATTTTTGGAAGCTTCTTTCACATCAGTGCTTCGGTCTTGCGCATAGATTGTACTGTGTGGATAATCCTACATACATGTAAAATGGTTAATGTACTTATCCCAGAGCTCAGCAAATACAGACAAAGCATATTCAGTTAATTACATATATGAAATATTAATGTGTGCTATATTCTTCCTGAGATTTCTATCTGCAATCCGAAAAGGGCAGAATGTAGCCAGGGTTATGTATAAAGAGACATTACTACATAATAAACTGAATTCTCTATGGCTTTTTGCCATTAGTTCAACTTCAGTAGTATTAGTAAAAAATTCCTCTATTTACTATATAAGCGGGAAGTGGCTGGAAGTGATATGTTTGCCTATTTATCTCAAGTCAGGGAAATGGGCCATGTATTATCATCGATTTATTTTTTTTTTTAAAAAATGTCATACTTGAAAATAAGATATATTCAAAAATGGGTGGCAATTCTTTGTATTTCTGTAGATTTTTCTATGTCAGCGGACTCAAAATTGGTGGTGCTTACAGTTAATTCTTTAGGCAATGCTCAATCCTACCTGGAGGTTGTACAGAGCAATGTGGAATTGTTCAGAGGCCTTATTCCATCAATAGCTCATTATAGTCAACACAGTGTACTGCTTGTTGCTTCTCAACCAGGTACTGTATGGCAAAGGTTAATATAATTTTATGAGGTTTCAATCACAAGATATGATTTACAATTGATATTAATTTTTTGACATCTTAATGAGGATTAGGAGATATGTTATTTTGTCATAATTCTCAGCCATAAAATAACTGTATCAAGCATTAGGTCATTTTTTAAAAAAAAAAAATCTGCTGGTTATTTTATTTTGTTCTACATAATGAACTGGTTATTGCGGATTTCCTTTTAGGCAATTTAAAAACTTTGATGGGTTTTTCTCATTCCAAATATTGTATAAAGGCTGTGTGATTTGTTGCATGATTCAACTCCATTGCTTATCTCCAAACAGCAAGGTAGTAACAGGATTACAAATCTTTTAAAATAACAAAACACCAACAAACACAAGCAGGGAAATAAAGAACAGAGCCATGGCATTTGTTGTTATTGTTAATTGCGAAGTCATGTCCGACCCATCGCGACCCCATGGACAAAGCCATGGCATACTGCTTACAAAAAAAAAAATCAGCCTAATTTGTTAACACCTTAACTGATTGGTATTATCATTCTTTCTGTTATGTTCATATACCAAAAGTGAACACTGACTATCCAAGACTGTAAAGGTGGGGTTGTGCTATTTTTCTAACATTGAAGAGTAATATTTTTGCTGCTTTCCATGCTTGATGAATCCATAAATCCATATTACTTGTAGTCAGTGCTTTTTTTGTAAAAAAAAAAAAAAAGGTGCTGGAACTCACACATGTCATACAACCTGCCTTGCCTACCCTACAAGGTTCCATCCAAAAAAGGTGCCGGAACTCCGTTCTGGGCGTTCTGTGAGAAAAAAAGCCCTGCTTGTAGTCAGTCATCAATTTCGGTTTTGGTACTTGCAGTTTAGTACATGCAGTTCAATTCACATATTTAAATCATGTTGATCTTTCTAATATTATATTAAAAACCTAAGGGTATTAAGCCAAAATAAAACTATAATAGGATAAGCCCATATCTCATCACTAAATGTTTTTTTTTTTACCATTTTTGTACTTACAGCCAGTCTTTTCAAATATTTTCTGGGTGTTTAATATTGTAAAGATGGAACTTTTTTCAGTTTGCCTCATATTAAGAAACATAATATTTTTTGAGACTGCCTAATTTATTCGAAGGGCTCACTGAAATCAGGGGGTGGCACCAATTCTGATTTGAAGGAAGGCATCAGCAGAATAGGGAAGGAATTTATTTATTTTTTTGATGTTGAATGGAATTTTGGCAACCGTAAAAATTTATTTACATAATTATGTAAATTCTGGAAAGAATAATTTAAAAATGCAATACTATAGGAACAGATCTTGCTATCTGGAACCTAACTAGGACCAATTACCATGAGCTCTATTCATGTCATCCATAGAAGGAAGTATATAGATATATAGAGTGTTGGTGTGCATACAAAAGGAGCAGGGCTTTAATTGCATCGTTGTAACGAAACATACTGACTTTTTGACTCCCTATGGATGTTGTTGGCTCTGCTAAGCATATATTGTTGTGCTTGCTTTTGTCTGTGTGTGCAGACGTTTGGGTCAATGTTGACTCTCTGTGACTGCGTGCATATGATCCTACAGTTTCTTGGCAAGATTTTGGAAGAGGTTTTACGTTGCTTTTTTTTGCTTGCTATTGTAGAGGAATATAATTAAAAATGACTTCTCCCCCCCAAATAACAAAAGCAATGGACAAAACGTATAATTGCTGTTTTCCAAATTATATGAGATAACATCTAATAGTTGACATAAGGACTGCATTAGCTTCTCAGAGGTCTCCCAGGAGACTCTCTCCAGTTCTAAGTTCAATAGAAGACTCCAATCTGTAGCTCAGGGTGGAGTCCTTAGCTGTTCTCTGAGCTTGGTTGCTTGTTTGCAGACATTTCATTACTTGTCTAGGTACTATCATCAGCGCTGGGGAGAGACTGTTTGCTCCCTGTTTAGTTCGCAGAGTCTCTCTCTCTGTGTTTTAAAGGAGAATGGGTGAAGATAAACCTCAATAGTTTGTGTTATCCAGAGTCTGATAAATAATACTAAACTTAGCCCTTTCACATCTAATCTTTATTGTGATTAAAGCTTTCATTATGCAGGAAACCCTGACCTTTTATTAATATCCTGCAGCTGTTCACAGAGAAATAGTAAAACTTCTAATTCCTCAGCAATCATATAAATGAATAGATGTATGTGCTTACTGTATGGCAACCCATTCCACTTCCCTCTAATCCCAAACAGTTGCCCAAACAACAGTGTAGTTTTTCTTCAGCTTAAAAATGGAATTGAAATACAAAAGTTATTAAAGATCAGTAATATTTACAGGACACTTTATGCCATTATTTTATATTGATTTAAAATATAATTGTCCCATTTTCTTAATATGTTTTTAACACAAGTACAGTAGAAATAATGACCTATGTGTCGTGGAAGCTGAGTGGATTTCCTAAAAGCAGAGTTATTGGAATTGGTTGCAATTTGGATTCAGCAAGATTCCAATATGTTGTTACAAATCTGTTGAAAGCCCAAAGCAAAAGTAAAGAAAATTGGATTATTGGTGAACAAGGAGAAAACAAAGGTAAAATTGTGAACTACTGTATGACTTAGGAATCTACTTTTTAGATTTTTTTTCCTTTTTGAATTAGAACATAAATGAGCTCTTTTATATTTGTTTGAGGAAACACTGAAATTTATGCTGAAGGTACAATTTTAAAAATGGAAAATGTTTTTTTTTGTAATATATTTTATTAATTTTTTAACAAGCATAAGTCACTCAATAATTGGCAAACAGTGTGTTGTCTGGGTTACATTTGTAAAGACACTCCTTAACAATTGATTTCTATAATCTGTATTCCATATATTAATTTTAGTTGATTTCCTCTTTCCCCAAAACATCCTTTTTTTTTTTGCAAACATTGAATTAATACAATTTTTATTGTTTTAGTAAATGACAATTAGGTATATACTTTTTCCAATATTCCTAAAAAATAATCATCATATTAGTATATTTATTTTCTTTTCAGTCATTTGGATTGCCTTATTATCAATCCTGTTACAATCCTTATTTTAGTTTATTTCTCCCACCAAGTTTTAAATATTCTTACTGGTAAGGGTTTTCTCAGTGATTAGGTACATTTACATTGACAGATTTAATTCTATTTTTTCCATATAAGCCATCTCACATTTTTACATTTCTTAAGTAATAGATAAAAGAGTAAAAAGAGAGGGGAGAAAAAGAAAAACGAAAAAGAAATAAAAAATAAAAAAGAAGAGAAGAAAACAGAAGCAACAAAACATAAGAAATAACATACTACTGGGAATATATATCCCTCCTAGATTAATATGTATTTATTTTCTCAAATTTCTTATTCTTTTTAATCATAGTTAAGAATACATTTAATCTTTAGACATTCCATTTAATAGATCTAGTCATCTAATCCCTTAACTCTGATTCAAAGCATTTTTATATACTTTTCTTAAATTCAATCACATTTAAGTATCTAAAACATTTCATCCCTCTTAGAGTGGTATATTCCAAAATTTTTCTATTTCTTTAACCATGTTTCTTTTTTAAGTATTCTCTCTGATATGTCCTGTCATCTATTTTCTTAGTTTCCATCTTAATCTTTTTTCTTTGCCCAGAATCTTTCTTAATCAATGTACTTTGCTGAATCAAAAGGGTTTCCCATATGATCATAGTGTTGCTGTAGATGTAGAGAGTAAATCAATGTCTCTGTCATGGGCATTTGCCCACCTCTTTTTATTAGGAATCTTTTTCCTTTCTTTTCTCTCCACTTCTTCTGTCACTTTTTGTCTCTTTATCCAATCCTTTCTCTTATCTTCAAATTTACTTTGTGGTGTTGAAATTTAAGTTGTCTTTTTCTTCCACTTGGATTAAATCATACTCTTTTATTTCATGGAAATAAAGATGGACTTCCATGAAATAAAAATGGAAAATGTTAAAGTAGTCCTTGTTTAGTTATCACAATTGGGACTAGCAATGTGGTCATTAAACAAAGCCATCACTAAGTGGGAATTCATCTGTGCTTTCATTTTCTTCACTTCTTCACCCTTTGGAATGCTCACCCTGGTGCTGGAATAATTAGCAAGGAGGACTTAATGTTTATATTTACCTTCATTGGAAAGGAAGAGAATACAAGAGAGTAAACAGACACAGCACTTTTTAAACAATCTCTCTTGTGCCTGATCCATTTTTTCTCTCCTTCCTTCACAGAGTAAAGAGATTGGAGAGGAGGAGATTACAAGAGAGTAAAAGGCATGCAATGGAAAATACACTGGATGTTTGCCAGCGCATTCCTTTTGATGTGTATTCTCTTGCTTACTCTCTTATGATTCTTCCTTAATCTTTCTGCTCCTCAAGGGGGGAAAAGATAAACAATGGGTCAGGCACAAAATGGCATATTCTGATTATAATGGTGATCACATGACTGAGGGACACTGCAAAAATTGTAAATACAGGATTGCAGTTATTTTTTCATCACCATTATAACTTCAAATGGTTGCTGCAAATGGGCAAGGCAATTGGTAAGCGAAGTCTATGAGTAAAACATTTGCCAATTTCTGCTTTAATTAATAGCTAATAGGAGAAATTAGAGGGAGTATTGTATCTCTATTAGCATGACATGATGGACTACAAAGTACGTAGGTTAAAAACAAAGTCATGTTATCTAACTATCCAAATGTTTGAAAAAGAAAATTAATTACAATTGTCTTATACAGTGGCAGCATGGAGTTCTAATTCAGTGATAAATCATCCTGGTGATAAGTTAACAAATGATCAACAGATATTGACTAACAGGTAAAACATCTATCCCTCTACCTATTTAGTAGCAAATGACACTTACTTTAATGAGATTTCTATATAAGTTGGTATAGAATTTTAGCTTAAATATGAATGTTCACTTGTATCTGAGTAGCAAATCTATATTATTTAACTATAATTTAACATTTGTACTTGAGCATAACAACAGTTTTGGTGAAAATATGTGGTTATTAAAAAGAATATATTGCTTGCTAGAAAAGTCTTTTTAACTCTTAAATGTATTTTTTTATATATCTAGAGCCATGGAAATTCTGAAAGGAAAAGGCCAAAGGTCTTGGTCTGTTGGTCTGTCAGTAGCTGATCTGACTGACACTATATTGAATGATAAAAGGAAAATACATTCTGTATCAACCACAGTCAAGGTAAGCAGGAAACTGATTTTATTTTGAAGTAGACTGAATATTAGTCTATAGATGATAAAAACCATAAGAAGAATGGAGAACAGATTATGAATCTACAGGTCCCCTTGCTTTTGGCTGGAGGATACCTGGTTAACCATTTTTTTTTTTTTTTGTCCTACCTCTCCTATAGCAGAGGCCAGCTGATTTTGGGTTTCTCTGATCCAATGTGGAAATATTGTTTTCAACTTTCACCTGACAGAATATTTGCTATTTTCATGGTTTGTGTTGCTACAGCGGCCATCATGGCAGCACCAGGAATTAGTCCAGCACCTTTTCATTCCAGGCGTCAAAGCTCCTCTTTGTTGGTTGCTGTCAGCTTCCTTCTACAGCTATATTTTTACTTTTTTAAAATACTTAATAAAGTTGAAAATACAGTTCTATCACTTTTAACAGAATAAATTATATTTCTCAGCAATAAAGGTCAGACACTAACATGATCAGTCTTTTTGCTGGCTTACTTCAGTCATACCTTTTGATAACTAATATGGTTTAAAAAACCAATGTGATTTAAAGCAGAAAATGTTCATTTTTGTTTTTTGTGGTTTGTATGCTGTGAAGCACTTGAAATACTGTAACTCCAGATGATCACTAAGTAGGAGCAAAGAATTAGTTTCTCTACCTCTTTGTTGTCATCTAGTGTCAATCTGGGATTTTACAGCTCAGATAAAAACACATCTAAATTGTGCAATTACTTGCAAACTGATTTAATCTTACAAGTATACATGACTGGCATATGTAGAATTCAAGCCCGAAATGCCTTAAATTTTAAATACCTTTGGTAAAATCCAGATACATATAAAAATATTATGTCCATGTTTTTTTTTTCTAGGGGTCTTATAATATAAACAGTGAAGTATTTTTAAGTATGCCTTGTGTACTTGGAATCAGTGGTGTAATTGAAATGATGAAGCCTGTGGAAGAAGATAACGTAGTTGAAAAACTTCAAACCAGTGCTGCATCTCTCAATGACTTTCAACAGCAACTGAAGCTCTGACTACCAGGGAACCATAGATTTTTGTTTTTAAAATATTTGAGATTTGCAGAAAAAGTATTACCGACCAACTGGGTCCAACATCAATTTCTCACAGTGTGGAAACTTCAGTGAATATTATTATATGGTAACTAAAGATAGATAAAAACAATTAGGTTAAGGAAGGTATTACTTCCTTGGCCATGGCGTTACTTGTAATCATGAACTAGAGTACTGTACTTCTTTGCCTTTTCCTCATCATGTTGTGCCCTTCAATAGTACTATTCAAATGTTCTCTAAAGCAAATTTTTATTTTAATCAGAGGTGTTAGGCAGTCAGAGGTAATATAGATTGTTATTTCCCATACACTATTAATTGTATTCAGATAATATACAATTCTTAGAAAGAAGCAGCAGCATAGTTTTGTCTAAAATCAATGTTCACTATTCAACTGATACGTATGGTTTTTTTAAACATTTACACTGCCAAATCAGTCATCTGAAGTTGACATTATATTGCACAAATATTACTTTAGGGTCCATATGTCTAAATAGAGTTTTCAAAGTGTTCACTATTCAACTGATATTTTATGTTTTTTTAAAACATTTACACTACCAAATCAATCATCTGAAGTTGACATTATATTGCACAAATATTACTTTAGGCACAATATGTCTAAACAGAGTTTTCAAAGTGTTCTGTATAGATTCTAAGGTTTTATGGGAAAGTCTTGGATGAAGGCTGTTAAAAATATTAGCATATTACATTGCTGCACTATTGACTACCAAGATGCAGAAGGAAAACAGGATTCTCTCTGTTTTAGGCATAGGATGTACTTTGTTTATTGTGCTTTATCACATCCTAAAATTAAGGAGGTCCTACCAAAGTATTGTTTCTCTTGATTAATGCTTCTGGAAAACAACATATACATGCACTATTATGCAGTAGTTAAGTTTTAATGTATTTGGCTGCTCAGTTCTAATATTGCACTAAGCTTTTAGCAGTACAAAAAGATTTGCTACGCTAAATTTAATAAAATACTATTGTGTGATTATGTATGCCTATAATGATTTTTACCATTTTTGCTTATTTTTCTAAAAATTACAATATGGAAAAAACTTGTGAATGAGATATTAATAAAGCTAATGGTATCTGATGTACATCTTTTGCTTTACATTGTATGTGTCATGGTTCCGATAGATGAAACCCATCAAAAGAACTTCAAGGCAAAATTCTTCCTTAAATAACATTTATTCAGGAAACAACGTTATCAGCACTACATAGTTGAACACCCTAACTAAATTCCCTTCACCTGGATACAAAGTAACTAAGTACAATGCCCTCAGCCTGCCAAAACGTTATCAGCTCGTCCTTGAGTTCCCACAGCAGCATTATTATTATGGCTAGCTGAGCTTACATCCCAACCCCTCTACCTGCTGCACATGAATTCTAAAAGTAATAAAAGCATGTTAAAAGAGAAAATGGCTGCATTTTCATCAGAACAGAAACATCCAATATTAGCAGCGTTTACAGTATGATCTTCAGAGCTAAAGATTTAATGAGAAAGTGATGCACAATTTTATGGATGCATTACTGGTATTTGAATCAGCATTAACAATATCCTACAGAATTTCAGCACACAGGCTGAGTGACTTTGGGCTAGTTACTTTCTCTCAACACCCCAAAAAGAAGGAATTGGCAAGCCACTGATGAAAAATGTTGCCAAGAAAACTACAGGGGGGTAATTGCCAGCTGATTTAAAGGCACTTTTTTTTAACAAAAAAAGGGCAGAAATAGCTGGGTGTGAAGCCACCTATTCTTATATTAAAACAAATAACATTAATCAAGAGTAAGCACACTTGTGAATTTGCCTTGGGATTAGCTGTGCTTGTTTATAATAATAATAATAATAAATTAAGTTTATATTTCTTTTAGCAGATTTATATAGCTGCCATCTCACCAGAAGTGACTCTCGATGATTACAACATAAAAAAAAATAAATTGTAAGATATTCATTATAAAAATAAACAACCATTATTTTAAAAAGTTAAGAATCAGTAAAAATTAAAATGTATATAATACTCAATTCCCAGCAAATCTGGGTGGTTAAATGTAATTTAAAGTAAATTACTGCCTACATAGCAATAATGGCTTCACTTAAAATTTGTACATTGTTCTTGGTATTATTTATTTATACCCCAACTTTGATTGAGGAGCTAAAAGTGGCACCCTGTCCTACATTTTTTTTCCCTTCAACCCTCTAAAATAGATTAAGTGTAGGAGAGAGACTGGCCAAGTTGTGTGTGTGTGGGGGGGGAGAATCAAACAGGACTTAAGTCGAGAGGGTGAAGTCTGACACACAGACACACCCCTTGAATAGGTAGGTAGGTAGATATTTAAACTTTCATTGTCATTTTTTACTGTGGGCACAATGGCACATATTAAAAATGAAATTTAGTTGCTCTCAAATTGTACATATACATAACATACATTTAAACATACTATATACAACATATGTATAGAATGCTGTTGAACCTTATCTAATCTCATCCAGGTGCAATCTGAAAAGATTCCTGTGTATAGGCCTGAGCAATAAAACAGCTAACTTAACTTTTCAAGTATGGGTCTGGTTGTTTGCACCCGACAATAGGTCAAGATAATGGGACTCTCACTAATCGATCAGAATAGAGCTGGAAAGAACCTTGGAGGTCTTCTAGTCCAACCCCCTGCTCAAGCAGGAGGCCCTATATATATACCATTTCAGACAAGTGGTTGTCCAGTCTCTTTTTAAAAAATCTCCAGTGATGAAGCACCCACAACTTCTGAAGGCAAGCCTTTCCACTGGTTAATTGTTCTCACTGTTAGGAAGTTCACCGAATAGTTGTTGTTGTTGTTTTAATTGAGGGAGGACTAGAATCTCTTTCTGCTTTTAGTCACCCTTAATGATTAACATACCCCATTTCGATCCAGTTAACTACAACCCAGAACAGGCTGTAAAATCGGACCGCCCGGCCATCCTCTCTATGATTTTGGCTTTGCAGAGGGGCTAAACTCAAAACTCTATTACTATTTTCGCTGGTGGGCTGGGGCGGGGGGAGGGAGAGAGAGAGAGAGAGAGAGAGAGAGAGAGACGCCGGAAGTGACGTTTCGCGGTATCACCGAGCGGAAACGGATCGTGGAGGCTGTCGGAAGCGGAGCTCGGGAAGGCTCTTGTCCGTCCGGGAGTTAGAGTAGCGGGAAGAGGTCGTAGAGGGACCGCCGCCACCAGCGCCAGCATGGCCATGTCTGAGAGTCAGCTGAAGAAAATGCTTGTTAAGGTAAACCGCCAGCCTGCTCCTGAACCGTCTTTCTCAAAGCAGCCTTGAGTCAGCTCAGCCCAGTCGTCCCCTTTGAAGGCCCGGTTTCTCTGCGGTAGAGCAAAAGCAAAAGCGTCCTCCCTTTGGAGACGGGAGATTCTTCCCAGGGATCTCCTTTCACATTTTTCTCACTAGTGCTTGCCGCTTCCTCGCCAGAGACCAGCTTTTGCATCAACAAATAAAAAGTGACTAAACTTTAGTCAGCTCTAAATTCAACCCAAATAGCCACTGGCTTTTCTCTGCAACCCTTTGCTTGGTTTGTCTTTTCCAAGTTTTCAGTTAGTCTCCCCTTGTTTTGTTTTGTTTCCCTTTCTTTCCCCAGAACTTATTTTCGATTATTTCTTGGAAATTTGCTGCATAGTAGGGCTTAACTTAAATACAAGGAAGTAAAAATAAACTTTTTAAAGAATTTTTCATGCATTTGAAAGGTGAATTTGGTGTAAGAAGTGGTGCTTTTAGGCTTCTCTAACACTTTAATAAATACCTTTTTTAATATCTGAGGGTTTCCCCCATTTTGATTTTCTGCCTTTTATGCGCACTCCCTATCACCTGGATTTGGTAGCACATAAAAATCCTTATATGCCACTTTGATATAGGTTGAGAAGAGCAAATGACAATGTGTGTAAATGGCATCATCATGCGAATGCTGCAACTCAATGAATGTTGTCATTTTGGCATCATCTTGATTTGTTGTGGATGCTGCATCTTGAAGGGTTGGCAGAGAAATGTATCTAATGTGATTGTTACATATTGTATGTAGACAATGTTTATCAACATTTTATAAAAGTTGTGGATGTTTTTGTAAACCACAAAGTAACAATATGGGCGTGTTTGCATACACATACTTATTTAATTCTGCTTGGTCCACAAATATAAGTTTAAGTGGTTTTAATATTGAGTGATATTGAAAAAACAGACTGACAGTTTTACTAGGAAATGGTATTTATAGTTTGCAGTCTATCTCCACAATCAGCTAATCTGTTCAATAATGATTAATAATTACTGCACACATACAGGTTTCTATATGTGTCTCTTGTATATATGAAATAGATAAACTGTTTCTGATGTTACGGAAGTACAACTCTCTGCTCATGTAGCAGGAGTTTTTCTTATTTTTATCCCCACATTTTCTTTCCTGCAAATCGCCCAACTCTCCAAAGCAAAGACTGTAGGAAATGAGTAATAGGCTGAAGTGGTAGAAGCCATTCTCTGTGTGGAATGGCACCATTGGATAAAGCCCATATCCTTCCCTCTTAAGAATTGGAAGTCTATGGTCCTCGGGTACCTCCAGATTCCTTTTCCAGTACCATATAGTAATGAATAGTAATAAGGAGTGCTGGGAATTCTGCAACTTCTGGATTATCCTAAGCACTTAACTCTTTTTTACTTACATGTTATGTAATTTCAACATGCTTTACCTCATGTTGATTCATTTAGAAAATGTCTTTACTTTCTGGACCTCCATATAAATAAAATTGAATGGGATCATTCTAATTTCAAATTTGTATCATGAAATACCATTATAACTGTCCCTGTTGCTCTGCAAATCCTGTTGATTACCCAACAGAACAATTTCACAGGTAAAAATGTTTAAGGGAAAGCTTGTTGTGGTCATAGAACTTCATTTGTCATAACCTGAAATAGAAGATTCCAAACACTGGAGTTGAAATTCTAGTGAGCTGATCTGTGGGCTTGCTGTTAGTGAGAAATGTTTTAAAATGTTATTTTTCTTTTCTCTAGTACAAGTACAGAGACCTGGCTGTTCAGGAAACTGTCAACGTTACTGGCCAGTACAAAGATCTCAAACCTGTTATGGATAACTATGGTAAATTGCTGTCTTCCGTATTTTTGCAATATGATTTTTTTTAACTTTTAACTACTTTATAGTAATATCTAGCCATTTTATTTCATTGCGTAGAAATAGTTTTGCTGAGGTATTCCTCAGTTAACAACTACCCTGTTTAGCGACCCCTCAAAGTTAAAATTAGTTCTTGTCTTACAACCACAATTGGAATTGGGAAATTCATTGTTGAAGTCATGCAGTCACTAGGTGAGGCATCATGTGACTGCACCCAGTTTTATACCTATTTTGCCGTTGTTAAGCGAATCACTGCAGTCAAGAAGGCATGTTATCTTGATTTGCGACATTCCCCATTGACTTTGTTTGTTGGAGGCCAGAACGGAAAGGCACAAATGACAATCGGGACCCTCGGAGACTGCAGCCATCGTAAAGACATACCAGTTGCCAAGATCCGAATTGCAGTCATGTGACCTTGGGGATATTGTGATAATAGTGAGAGGACTGGTCTTTTTAGCGCCATCATAACTTTGAAAAGTCACTAAATGAATGCTCATAAGTCAAGGACTACTTGTATAACAGCGTTGAAAAAGTGACTTTAGAATTGGTCCTCAAACCTATGGCCATAGTGGCATCCCATGGTCACATGATTGTCATTTGTGAGCTTCATAGCTGTCTTCCAATAAGCATAGTCAATGAGGAGCTACAATGAACTCACAAGTCTCAGTCACTTGATGATTCCCTTAATGACTGTGGCTGATTCTCTTAATAATCACAACAAAACGGACATTGTAAGTCAGGTATAGTGGCATGATGTTTTATTTAACTATTGTATCACTTAGAATGGAGTTGCTGCTTCTGATTGTGGTTGTTAAGTGAGGACTACCTGTACTGAAGAAATGAAACAAGATTATGTGCTCGCCTCATGATTAAGGTATTTTAGTGAGTGACGTCAGATCATGAAGCTAACGCACAATCTTGTTCTGCTTTCTAATACTAGAAGTAGTCATTATTTCTACTAGTAGAAGTAGTCGCTCATTTGACAAAGAAAATATTCAAGTAAGGTAGAAAAAAATAATATATTCTTCATTTAGAGCAGTGGTTCCCAATTTTTTCTATACCCCACACCCCTAGAACGCTTCTGTTGTGATTCCTCGCCAGCCAGTGGACCCGACAGCTAAGTCTGGGGAATCAGAGGAGGAGGAGGGGCCTGGAGTGACGTCAGAGGAAGGCTCTGAGGAGCTCCAAGACTTACAGTCTGATGAGGAGCCTGGCCCCTTTACTCGCGCTCAGGCTGAGACACAGCTGTGCTGGGAGGCTGAGTTGGACAGTGAGGAACTCACAGCTGGAAGATATCCAGGGTGCACGTAAACGTCACAAGAAAAAAGAGTTGGACAGAGGAATGCAATGGGGTGGCTCCAAAGGCAAAGGAGAAGGCATTAGGAAGCCACGCCTTGGCTGCATAATAAAAAGGAAGGTGTGGGAGGTGCTGGTTGCTGAAGGCAACCATTTGTGTTAAGGAATCAAGTTTCTGTGAACTGTGTTTTGTTTGCCTTGGACATTTACTCAGGTCTGTAAATAATAAAAGGGGATTGGTTTTTTCCTGCGGTTCCAGCCTGCTTGTTGAAAGAGGGGTTTCTCCTTGAGCTTAACAAGGACTCATGTAGCCTGGGACATAACAGCTTCTGACATATTCTCACAACCCTTACAAAAGTTTGAAATAACAGCAACAAATTATGCATATACACTATAATTTTGAAAACCCAAGTGTTCGCAGCCCCTGGAATATCGTCTCGCATCCCTGGTTGGGAATTCCTGATTTAGAGCATATATTTCGCTTGAAATCTTTTTTGAAAATTGCCATAACCTATTCATTTTTAAAAGAGTATAAATTTCTTGAATTGCAATATCTGGCAAACTGCAGTTGCCATAGAATCCATAGTGAAAAATTTATGGCTATTTATAAAAGGCACAAATGGCATGCCAAACACTTTACACTGTACAGTGTTTATTTTCCTAGAAGATGCGTGCTTATTTCTGGTCAGAATGAAGTGTTAATACTGAGTTGATACGCTTATTTTTGTTAATGTGTTCAATGTCTGTGATTTGTATGTTGAATAAATCGATGCTTCTTTTCAGTTTTTAATGATGGTTCATCAAGAGAATTGATGAGCCTCACTGGAACTATTCCTGTAAGTTACAGAGGTATGTATGTATTTTGAACAGTTTGCATAGATTATTTGAAACCACTGTTTCTGTATAGGTAATCCTCGCTAATGATCAGTCACTTAGCAACTATTCAAAGTTACAGTGGGACACCCCCCCCCCAAAAGACAATATAACACGGTTCTGGAGTTCTGACGGCCATGTGTGCATGCATGCACTGCAGTCACGTGATCGCATTTCAGCACAAGGCAATTGGCTCACATTTACAGTCTTTTGCAGCATCTTGAGTTTTGGCATTTTTGCCAGTTTTTGGCAAAACATGCCCGTTGGTTAAAATAGATTGGTTTACTGACCACCACAAAAAAAGGTAGTAAAACCCTGCTTAACATCTGCATGGCCTACAGTTGTAATTCTGGACTCAGTTATGATCATAAATCGAGGACTACCATAGTTAATTCATAAACTGTATTCTTCACTCTGTAGCATTGTATTTAGTTTGTGCATTTCAGATACCTCTGTACATTGCTTTAAATCAGTCAGAACGGTGAAAGCAAAACGAAAACACAGATTTATTGCAATCTAAACAATTACTATTTCAAAGCAAAACCATTTATAATTTCCTATCTCTTCTCATGCGGTTAGGTGGCATTACTTTGGAACAGAGCTGGCAAAGTCCAGGTAGATACAAGCCTCTTTAATATAACTATACAAGGCATTTGAATGAGATGGTTTGAAAACAAAGCTAGGCATCTGCCATACCCAAAGAAGGAGCTTCTCGTGTTTTTTCAAAAGATGGAGCTGACAGTGATTCCAAGTTATGTTATCTATGCTCCCAGATATTATGAAGCATCTCATTTGAATGTTTTGCATAACCTGTACATATCTGTCTGTTATGATGCTCACAGATACCAATATAATTAACAGTGCAATAGTATTAAACTAGTTTAAATGTGTTACACTTCATTTAGCCACTAACATAGCAGAAAAAGCTCAATGACTTAGTGGAATCAGTGATGAGAAACGGCAGGAATTTTGAGTAGAACCCTATTACAAAGAAGTTTTGAGCTTTCATGGCACAGGGAAATCTGATTGCTTGTAATTGCTGGCATATTCTGCTGGTTGCTATGGTGAACTTCACTATATTGTTGCAGTTATCTCTGAATCCTGATCAGATAGATGTTGAGCACAGAATTTGTCAGCTTACCTGGGAGAGTTTGTTCATAATGTGCTATTAACCTGTACCAACTTTCTGCAATGATAAAGAGTATAAGAACACTTGGACCAGAGATTTCACTACTTCAATTTTATAGGAGCAGGTTCTTATATAATAACTCTTATAACTCTTTTCCAAGATAGCGGTGTATTGGATATCAAAACACAAAAGCAGAATACATTGCAGAATTTAGAAATCATAAACTCATCTGTGTACTTAGCTGGTTCAGAAATATTGTTTCCTAGAGGAATGAGAGCAGAAATTCTGCTGGGTTCAGCTTTACAGTCCATATCCAAGACATTTGTCCTAAGCTCTGTCTTTGCTCATTCATAGTCCAAGGAGCAGCCATTACTGCAGCAGTTTGATTTCTATTTGCTTTTCCCAGCAGGACTAATAATGCAAGTTTTAGAAGTCATGTGGAGAGTTAGTTAATAAAATGTGGTTCCGACAAATGAAACTCTTCAAAGATTCTTTACCTTAAAGCAGTAGTTCTCAATCTTTCTAATGCCGCGACCCCATAATACAGTTCCCCATGTTGTGGTGACCCCCAACCACTTATACATCACTGGGTGCCAGGGTTGTGGCCAAAGAAAAGGGGAAAAAATGGCAGACAGCCTTGTTTGGCGACCCCCGTGAAATGGTCATTCGATCCCAAATGGGGTCCCGACCCACAGGTTGAGAACCACTGCCTTAAAGAGTCTTTATTCGAGCAGCATAGCATCGGCACATACATAAGCAAAGCCAAAATCTGGATTCCCCTTCCCTTAGCACATAGTATTCTCAAAACACAATTCCCTCCTCTAATTAACAGTCATAAATCACATTCTCCAATTAGTTTGAAATGCAGGCTTTCCCTCCTGTTCTAAACCCGCCATTTCTTATCATCTCTTATTTCAAAAGCCCTGAATTCACACACTATTACAATATTGTTATGTCTAACTAACGCCCATCACATTCCTCCTGCATCTCTATATGTTGTCAAAGCAAGAACATTCAAATGTTAGCAGCGTTGACATAAAGATAATAATTCAAGTCCTGGTTTATAATATCCCTAATTGTTTAAAATTACTACTTTGATTCTTTGAAATTCCTAGAAAAAAGTCATTTTGTAAAGCTTGAAATTTTAAAGTGGGGGGGTCCCAAAATTCTTAGCAAGTGTTTTGTACAAAATAGTACTATTATTCTCAATGCTTTTTAAAATCCTACTGGAGTCTGTGATAAAAACATAGTATCATTGTCGTAATGCTAATATTGCTGGATGCTTATTTGCTAATTTTGAGGGATGATGTTAATACTTATATATCACTAAAAGTCCCTTGCCTGTTTGTAACCTTCAATTGGGCAAAACTGTGCATCATAGAGCAAAAGTTTTTGAGCCAAGATCTCTCAAATGGGCTAACTTACAGAATGCCAGATCCAATTAGTCCCATGAGAGTGATTGTGGCCAATTGAACGAGAAGCACCAGCTGGGTCAGGGAGGGTGCAAGGGGATCCGTGTGGTGTTGTGCAGGTTGGGGAGGGCGTGTGAGCATTTTTGTATGGATCAGGAAGAGTACGGGAGAGGTGCCATGAGGGTTGGCGAGATTTGGGTTGAGATATCAATATCAAGACTGAACATTTTTTTTAATAATCTCAATCTCCCAGAACATTCCCTGGCTTCAGACAACTGATCAGCAGAAAATAGATGACAATATGGGCAAGTTACATCCAATCAGATTGGATAAAAAAAATTACCCATGTATTATTTATAGAAATTGACCTCCTGGGATATGTTAGATGTGGCTATCTGTTCCAAATTTGCGTGACTACCTCCAAAGTTAGCTATGTCATAGGCTGCTGCTGCTGTTACCAATTATAACAATTCCAGTTTTCAGGGACATGTTTACAAAAGACATTAGGAGCTATTCCTTTGATTCTCTGCGAGCAATTTGATGCAGGTTCAATGTTTAAATAGAAGTTTACTTTTCCAGAACAGGTTGCATGCTTACACCTACCTTACCAGAACTCCCAGCCAGTCTCTGTATTGTGTGTAAATAACATTTTTTTCCCTTCTCATCTTCATCCACTCCACACTAGCTTCTCAAACACTTTAGCTCTTCATCATTTATCCGGAATAGATAATGGAAAGTGGGAAGGGGTAGTGAACATCTAAAATTTTTGTTTTGGTTTCTGAGGGCTGAGGAGGATTTGAAGATTCAGTGTGGTAAAATGCAAATAAACTCACTAGTATGAAAATCAGACAAAATTGAGGAGGATTGTTATATGCAGTGTAACTAAGTATCAGATGCTTGGGATAATGGACTTGCTTTCATAATACCTTGTTTATTAATTTCCAGAGCATGTTGTATGTGCTTATAAAAATACTTCAGTTTTGTGTCTCAAGACCATTCCTATGCACTTAAATATAGTAACAGATATGCCACTTCAGTAATTTATCATGGTACCATTTATTATCAACAAAGAAATAGAACATTATTTTTTAAAATCTCTTTAGGCAACATTTACAATATCCCAATATGTCTGTGGCTATTGGATACATATCCATTCAATCCCCCAATCTGTTTCGTTAAGCCAACTAGTTCGATGACGATTAAAACTGGGAAACATGTCGATGCAAATGGCAGGATATATCTTCCTTATCTACATGAATGGAAACATGTAAGTATAATTTTAAGGTTTTTAAGCATTAATCATAAACCATTTTGAGATATAAATATTAATTTCATTTCATATTCCTCTGGCTATTGAATATAATGGGAAAATGAACTTGGACACTTGGGGCTCAGTTGAATATAATATTAGAATCTTACAAAGTTTAAATATTAAAAGTTTTGCGTTGTTTCCTTTGGTGTTATTAAGAATTGCAACTGAAATAACCATTGATGTTGCCTATAATCGGTATAATTCATTGGTGTGAATTCACAGTGTCATGAAGCATGTTCCCAGTGATATGTTATTTTTTAAAATTTTGACAGCTTCCGTTAATTGAATGACTACTAAGGTGAATGAAACTTTAACATAGAAGAAAAGGATAACCAGCTAATTTTCAGCAGCTGGTGAGATGATGAATCTGTTGGTACAGATAATGAGCAACCAAACTATTTTTGTAGAAGAAAAAAAATAACTGTCTTCTCTGCTTTAACTTCCAGCCACAATCAGATTTAATAGGACTGATTCAAGTTATGATTGTGGTGTTTGGAGACGAACCTCCTGTCTTTTCTCGACCAACCATTTCAGCTTCCTATCCGCCTTACCAAGCAACAGGGCCACCAAACAGTAAGGATCTTACAGCCATTATAATATGTGAATAATTGTGGGCTTAAACATGTATTTTTGGGTTATTTCTCTGAAAGAGTCCTGCTATTATGACACTGTATTTCAGTTATTACAGAATGACAACAGTTGCAAGAATTATTGTCATAATTTTAATTGTTACAATAGAGCCAATTTTGGCCTAATGGCTAAAGTACCAAGCTAGCTGCATCTAGCAAAAATGGGCTGCATCTCACAAAAATAGAGAAAAATGTACTCGGAAAAGAAAAAACTGGCCCAATTCACCAGAAGGGCTTTAAACTAAAATTGGGGGGTGGGGGAGAGTGACCAATCTTTAGAATCTCTAGAACACAAAAGCAATCATAAATCCCAAGGAAACAAACAATGAGGTAGGGAGTGATGAGAAAAAGGAAAAACTCAAACAACGTAGGCGATGCAGAAAACATACTCATGGACAGGCATAAAAGTCTTAAATGCTTATATACTAATGCTCAAAGCTTTGGGAACAAACAGGGTGAACTAGAAGCAATAGTACACGAGGGTAGGCATGATATACCATTACAGAACACTGGTGGGATGAAACCCATGACTGGAATGTACTGATGGATGGATACAAATTGTTCCAAAGAAACAGATCTACAAAAAGAGGAGGTGGAGTTGCACTATATGTAAGAGATTACTACATATCTACAGAAATGCTCATGATCAAAGTAAAACCCTCTAGAATGTATATGGGTCAATATAAAAGGAAAAAAGAGTGACATTGCCATAGGTGTATATTACAGGCCACCCAACTAATCAGAAGAATAGAATAATTAGAATAGAATAGAATAGAATAGAACAGAACAGAATAGAATAGAATAGGACAGGACAGGACAGGACAGGACAGGACAGGACAGGACAGGACCTTGGAGTAATCCAACCCCATGCTCAAGCAGGAGAACCTATACCATTTCAAACAAGTGACTGTCTAGTCTTTTGTTAAAAATCTCTAGTGATGGAGTGCCCACAATTTCTGAAGGCAATCTGTTCCTAATCCTAACTTTGCAGCAAGTGGGAGATCAAACAGATTCCTAACCAACCTAGCTTTGTCATCCAAAAGGTAGAGGAGAGAACTAGAAGAAAAACTATACTGGACCGAATTCTTACTAATAGAGAAGAAGTAATAGAGTAATTGAAGATGCCAGAACCTTGGGGAAAGTGACCATGTCATAGTGGAATTAAATATAATGCAAACACAAGCAATAGAACATAATCCAATCAGTGTCTTAAACTTTAAAAGAGCTGATTTTAAGAAACTCAGAGAGACCCTAGGAAAGATTCCATGGATGAAAATTCTAAAGAGGAAAATAAGTAAAGAAGCATGGGAACTCTGAAAAATGCAATCATAAAAGCCCAGTCCAGCACAATACCACTGAAAAAGAAAAAAAAATCAAGAAGAAACAAGCATAGTTGCACAAAGATCTCTCTGATAAACTGAAAGACAAAAAGGACAAGTTCAAAAAATGAAAAGAGGGACATATAACTAAGGCAGATTATCAGCAAAGACGAAGTCAGGAAAGCAAAAGCTCAGAATGAACAAAGACTTGCAACAAAAGTCAAAGAAAGGTTTCTTTCAACATATTAATAACAAGAAAAAAGTCAAGGAAACAGCTGGTCCACTAAAGAGAGAAGATGGCAAGGAAGTAACAGGCAGTAGAGAGAAAATAGAGCTGCTTAACTCATTCTTTGCATCAGTCTTCATGCAAAAAGAAACTATAGCCCAAACTACCAAAAAAACTATCGTAAAAGACAGCCTAGAAATAAAAATTAAAATAAGCAAGAAAAGGGTAAAAGGACACCTATCTAATCAGCTAGCAGTATGTAGCAGCAGCCAAAAAAGCTAATACAATCCTTGGTTGTATAAACAAAAGCATAGAATCAAAATCACATGAAGTATTAGTACCACTTTACAAAACCTTAGTAAGACCACACCTGGAATACTGCAACCAATTTTGGTTACGTTACTACAAAAAAGATGTTGAGATTTTGGAAAAAGTTCAGAGAAGAGCAAAGATGATCAAAGGCCTGGAGACTAAAACTTACGAAGAACGGTTGCAGGATTTGGCTTTGGTTAGTCTAGAGAAAAGAAGAACTAGAGGTGACATGATAGCAGTATTCCAATATTTGAGGGGCTGCCACAAAGAAAAGGAGGTTGAATTCTCCAAAGCACCAGAGGGCATGACAAGGAACAGTGGTTGAAACTAATGAAAGAGAGAAGTAACCTGGAATTAAGGAGAAACTTACTAACAGTGCAAACAATTAACCAGTGGGCAGCTTGCCTTCAGAAATGGTGGGCGCTTCATCACTGGAGGTATTTAAGAAGAGACTGGGCAGCTGCTTGTCTGAAATCGTATAGGTTCTTCTGCTTGAGCAGGAGGCTGGACTAGAAGACCTTCAAGGTCCCTTTCAGTTCTACTTCTATTCTATTCTATTCTATTCTATTCTATTCTCTATATTTTATAATAGTAATAAATTGTGTATCAGCCTTTTCCAATACACTCAGTGCTCCTTAGTTTTGCAACTACTAATTCTGCCAAAGAGCTGATGGATACTTTTTAATGTAATAAAATTCTGTAGCTTCCAGAAATCTTCATTATACAGATACGCATTTAGCTCCATCTATTATATTATAGGAAAGCTATAAAATTATTAAATTGAATAAATTTCAGAGTCCCCAAGGCCAATTATGAAATAATTATAGAGTGATCTAAGAAAATAGAATAATTGCCATACTTTTGGAGTTATATTGAATATCTTATATAAATAAGATTGGGCCAACTTCATAGCTTTAGTTTTAAAGTTTGATAACCTTATCCATTGTAAAATTCTTGGCTGATATCTCAGTTATATCTGTGAAGGTTATAGAAGGTATTATTTACAATAATCTATCCCATAAAATTGGTTATATAAAAGGGTGCCATCCCTCACATAACATTTTGGCTGATACTAGTTTTATATCTTCATAAACTTGAATCATCAATTTTAGTTTAATTGGATGGAGAAAAATTCTTTGATATAATGCTAATTAAGTTTTTGATGCAGGTAATGCAGAAATTTAGACTTTTAGCAAAAGTTAATAATAATTCAGTATTCTAATGTTTTGCAAATGATAGAACTACATGTTAAATATTCTGGGTATGTAGTAAAATGAAATAAGTCAAGTATTACATGAATTGGTAAGAAATTCTTGATAGCTATATCAACATTATCTCTTGTCCATAATCTGTTAAATACCTGGGCAGTTATTATCCCAGGAAAATATGTTGATTAGGTAAGATTATTTCTGTATCAATAACCAAATGAAAAACAATATTAATAGGTAGCTGAAACAATCTAATTTTGTGGGGAAGAAATAACATGGAAAATGATTGTTACATCACTTTTAAATACATTTTGCTAGTATTGCTTATGTTTATTCCACTGAAATATTTTAAACAGCTTGTTAAGTTAATGGTGATTTTTTTCTATGGAAGGGATACGTATGAAACAAGAAGGATTTCTCAGTGTGTTACAGTTTTTGTACATTGATGGTGGTTTTCATTTTCCTGAACATACATTAAAAAGGGTTGAGGTTGCGCCTGATATTTTGAAGCCAATGACCATTGCTGTGGATGCTTCTCCTTAACTTATCCAGTCTTCCATTTCTTCTGATTCTATCAATTTGGCCAAGAATATTTTTTCCATAAGATCCATTTATATGTCCAAAGTATGTGAGTTTCATGTTTTTTTATAAATGTTAGTAGTTTTATTGTAATTTCTGCTGTAGGGTATGTAGGATTTATTTTCATAATACATTGTATGTTCACTAATTTAATAAAAATTAATTGCAATATGAAAATATGTTTCTATGTTACATAGAGTAGAAATAATAATAATAATTATTATTATTATTACATAGAGTAGAAATCTGTTTTTGTTAGATCTCTCAGCAGTAAAATTTTCAAGATGCATACTGCCAAGCACATGCATAATAAGTTCATTATCTCTGCCAGTAGATGTCAGTCAAATATATAGTTTGAAATCCTCTAAATGACTTTGAGTACGAAAGTAAAGTTTTACAAATTATAGGAATATAATTTGCACATTAATGACCAGATTTTCCAGAAATTTATTCAGGCTAGATGTTAGATAAAACAAGAGTTGATATAGTAATAAACTATAATGAGAAAGGATTAAAGTACAGTTAAAGTAGGTTAAATTGACATATAGGAGGTGTCATTTAAACTTAATCTGTTAAATTTCATTTGTTTTTTCCCAACATCAACATTGTTACTTCCAGCATATTAAAGGGGATTTTAAGGAATGCAGTAGAAAAAATTAAAAGGAAAACTTCATTGTATTTCCAATATTTTGCTTGTACAATTCTAGGTTTTGTGTTGTAGGGCAAGAATTATCTTTTAGGTCTGGTAAATATTTGCAATTCTTAAAATGTGGACAAGGCTACACAAAATAGCTCTCTAACTGGAGGTAGCTATTCATAAAATAACTGCTACCCAAGAAAAAGTAGTGTAACTGCTCCATTTCATTCCTTCCAATCTGCCAAGATAAAATCTATCAGATCCATTTGTCCTTTGACCTTTTTTTCTGGGCAGAGGGACATTTTTCCAAGTAAAGCATAGCACTGCAGCCTCACATTATTTTTATTTTCTCAGAATTCCTTTAGGCGGATACATTCTTATAAAGATTGCTAGAGTCTGGTACTTGGCTTATCAGCAAGCATCCTACTCTTACTTAATCTGAAAATAAGGTCGTACGGATGCCAGAAGGGTGTCTCAGAGGGCATCATGTTGTTTATTACTGCTGTAGAATTTGTCATAAACATCTGAAGCGTTTGTTTTTATAAATATTCCCAAATGGAATATTTCGAAACATTAGATTGTTTGATTTCATATCAACCTGGCTTTCATCCACAAAAGTATTAATGGGTCCTGCAGGCACATGGAGTTCTGCTAGGAAGCAGATAAGAAAATTCCAAGGATTGGGTTTTATTACTGGACTGCTCCTAGCCAGTCCTTACTTTGTTCAATAAGGCTTTGTTTGTGTGTTATTAAACTCTTATTTAATTAAAAAAAAACAGCCTTCCCCAAACTGTTTGCCTATAATCTACTACTATAAAAACTTCTGCACTATAAAAGTAGCATTTTAATATGTAACGTTATCTCAGACTGATAAAGTTTGCAAAATTGCTTTTGTGCTCAGCTTCCTATATGCCAGGAATGCCAAGTGGAATCTCTCCTTTTCCTCCTGGACCACCTCCTAACCCAAGGTAAAATAAATGCGCTTGCTCAGTGAGAAACATGGTGATTTGATCATGCTCTGTGGTGCTAATTCTCAGGTGGAATTTTGTTATCTTAGTCTAAGCCTGTGTTTCAAAAATATGTACACTTCCAAATGGACCCATGAAGCTTTTCTTTTTGAATTAGTGCCTGTTCAATAAATTCAGATTAAATGAATTGTTTAAATAAATTTAGCTTGATTTTGCTAAATTTTCTTTAGACAAGAATCTTTTTCAGAAATTAGGTGTTTGCTTGTTCAGAAGCCTGAACAAGGTGTATTACTTCATATCCAGTAGCTCCACCTTCAGAACTTTGCGTATTAGGTAGAAAGTCTGTAGGGAGATCTAAAACCTCATTTGTATATCACACGTAACATGTTTTAAGCAGCAAGCTGGTGATCTACTTGGGTTTGCTAACTCTTTCTGCCATTACTCAGAGACAGAAGATTTCCAAGTCAGTTGTGCATGGTTTTGAAATAGCCTTCGTGTCATTTGCATCCTAAATTAATCTGCAGAACACGATCACACTCTGTGGTTTGTGATAACTAGACATACAGTGGTGCATCTCATGCTGAGCCGATAATCAATAGTTGCTAAGCAATAGATAAATGGTTTGCAAGAAAAGTCAGCAGACAAATAGGCGAAGCATCAATCCCCTTTGAGGAAAAGTAGTCTTAGAGCTCAAATGAACAAGCCACCCTTTCTTTTCCTTCTCTCTCCTGTTTTTCTGAAGAAGCTTTCATCACATCCAAGAAAAGTTAGGACAGATTCCTCTGTCCTAACTTAACTCTTGTAGTTGTTCCGGAAGCCAATATCTCCTTTATGTGTGTCTTCTTATATTTTCACCACAAGCCCAGTCTTTCCAAACCTTCTTGAAGCTTGTGTTCAACAGGAATACGTTATTTTCACTGCATCTTCATTTCCACCTTTCATGATTATTGTGTTTTATATGTGATCCTTATTCCTCCTGATCTATTAATTATCATTCCCAATATATGTTTTTAACCTTCTTCTGTTGTCTTAATAAGCTTTAAGAACTTGTCTCCAATTTTGGAGGGATGCCAGATTTTCCTTAAACATGTATGGTTCAGTGTCAGAAGATTTTTGTATGCATGTTGAATTCACATATATGTGATACACTGGTGTTTGTAAAAATGACTGTGCTCTGTAAGAGATCCTTGACCAGGTTCTTACTGATATGCCACACTAACCTGCAAATGCATACAACAAGAAGGCAAATGAGGTTCTCATACAGTGGGGCAAAAAAGTATTTAGTCAGCCACCAATTGTGCAAGTTCTCCCACTTAAAAAGATGAGAGAGGCCTGTAATTGTCATCATAGGTAGACCTCAACTATGAGAGACAAAATGAGAAAACAAATCCAGACAATCACATTGTCTGATTTGGAAAGAATTTATTTGCAAATTATGGTGGAAAATAAGTATGTGGTCACCTACAAACAAGCAAGATTTCTGGCTCTCACAGACCTGTAACTTCTTCTTTAAGAGGCTCCTCTGTCCTCCACTCATTACCTGTATTAATGGCACCTGTTTGAACTTGTTATCAGTATAAAAGACACCTGTCCACAACCTCAAACAGTCACACTCCAAACTCCACTATGGTGAAGACCAAAGAGCTGTCGAAGGACACCAGAAACAAAATTGTAGACCTGCACCAGGCTGGGAAGACTGAATCTGCAATAGGCAAGCAGCTTGGTGTGAAGAAATCAACTGTGGAGCAATAATTAGAAAATGGAAGACATACAAGACCACTGATAATCTCCCTCGATCTGGGGCTCCACGCAAGATCTCACCCCGTGGCGTCAACATGATCACAAGAACGGTGAGCAAAAATCCCAGAACCACACGGGGGGACCTAGTGAATGACCTGCAGAGAGCTGGGACCAACGTAACAAAGGCAACCATCAGTAACACACTACGCTGCCAGGGACTCAGATCCTGCAGTGCCAGATGTGTCCCCCTGCTTAAGCCAGTACATGTCCGGGCCCGTCTGAAGTTTGCTAGACAGCATTTGGATGATCCAGAAGAGGATTGGAAGAATGTCCTATGGTCAGATGAAACCAAAGTAGAACTGTTTGGTACAAACACAACTCGTCGTGTTTGGAGGAGAGAGAATGCTGAGTTGCATCCAAAGAACACCATACCTACAGTGAAGCATGGAGGTGGCAACATCATGCTTTGGGGCTGTTTCTCTGCAAAGGGACCAGGACGACTGATCCGTGTACAGGAAAGAATGAATGAGGCCATGTATCATGAGATTTTGAGTGCAAACCTCCTTCCATCAGCAAGGGCATTGAAGATGAAATGTGGCTGGGTCTTTCAGCATGACAATGATCCCAAACACACCGCCCGGGCAACGAAGGAGTGGCTTCGTAAGAAGCATTTCAAGGTCCTGGAGTGGCCTAGCCAGTCTCCAGATCTCAACCTCATAGAAAACCTTTGGAGGGAGTTGAAAGTCCGTGTTGCTCAGCGACAGCCCCAAAACATCACTGCTCTAGAGGAGAGCTGCATGGAGGAATGGGCCAACAAACCAGCAACAGTGTGTGCCAAACTTGTGAAGACTTACAAAAAATGTTTGACCTCTGTCATTGCCAACAAAGGATATATAACAAAGTATTGAGATGAACTTTTGATATTGACCACATACTTATTTTCCACCATAATTTGCAAATAAATTCTTTCCAAATCAAACAATGTGATTGTCTGGATTTGTTTTCTCATTTTGTCTCTCATAGTTGAGGTCTACCTATGATGACAATTACAGGCCTCCCTCATCTTTTTAAGTGGAAGAATTTGCACAATTGGTGGCTGACTAAATACTTTTTTGCCCCACTGTATATGAGCGGTTCTCACATGTAGGTCTAGGGCAGAATTCCTGGAAGTTGAAGTCCACGAGTCATAAAAGAGCCAAGGTTGCCTACCCCTGGTCTAGAGGTAGAGTCAGCAGTGGACAATATAGGAAATGACATTGGGAAGTGCCAAGTCTTTTCCTTTCCTTATGAATTTCTTAAATGTATAAAGGAGATCTGAAATTTGTGGCATTGCAGTAAAACTAGAACATTTTCGCTAGCCATCGTGCTTGATTACATTGCTTAGCCTTCTAATTCAGCAATATCCAAGAACCACAACACAAGGCAAATTTAAAAATATTTTTGAAGGAAGCTAAGGGCTGCATTATTTGCATTCATTTGAATATTCTTTAATTTTAATTATTAATTAATGACTGCACAGTTAGGTGAATTACTAGCGATGTTTTCAGTACTTAACCATTTTGGCAGGAATCCTGCAACATACTCAATTTATTGAGTTTTTTTTTTTTTTTTGTCCTATAGCATTCTTCTGTGTGCTTTTCTGTTAAAAAATAGCAACTCATTTTGATCACTTGTATATGAAATACTGAATGCAAAATGGCTATGGAAGGCATTGTACAGGATGGGAAATAAGGAGACCACAAATTAATGAGAAATATTTATTCAAAGTTATTTTCTGAGAGATATAGGAGCCTGCTTGGTGTCCATGCTATAATTTAAAAGATTACAAAGTTTTCTTTTCACGAAAGTAACAGAGCAGAATGAAAACCGTTAACAATAGACTAATCTTGAATAGCTGAGTTTGGTGTCTTCCCTTAAAATGTTTCGAGCACGAGTTTGAAAATGTAATATTAATTTATAAAAATGAAGATAACATGAATTAGTGTTCAAACATATAAGCATTAATGAATTTATCACTAGATTCAATTGTAATCTGATCATAGCTGAATTCATTAAGCTTCAATAATCCTATTTTGTCTTCTCTTTCACTTCCTGGTCAAGTGGTTATTCAGGCTACCCTTATCCTGCACCTAGTGGGCCATTTCCAGCAACAACTAGCACACCACATTATCCTTCTCAGCCTCCTGTAACTACTGTGGGTGAGTAATTTCAAACTAGCCATTTCAGAGGTGGAAAATGAGATTTGCATCTGCAGATGTACAAACCAAAACACTTACTTTTACAGAGATTGTTAATTTGATTATAGTAACAAAGGAGACTTACGATAAAAGCAATATTTATTTATTTTACTAATTCATGTCACACGTATTGTTTTTCCTCCAATATTAGATTTACAAAACAATGAATGATTTCTGCTGTTTCACTCATCAAGAGTCTTTATTTTTAATTTATTGCTTTATGTGATAAAATTTGTATGTGCTTGAAACTGTGATCTTAGCAAGTCATAAATGAATTAAAGTTGAAGAGCAAATAGAACAAAATTACGTAATTGTTTTATTCTCTAATCTTATTCTGGGCAGCTAATCTTAGTTTTGACATTTAAATTTTGGGAAAAGTTTTAACATGCTAACATACCCAGGAATACCCAGAGTGTAATCATTACAGTGCAAAAAATAATGCTGCAGCTAAATACAGTATAGTAAAGAATATAATTACAGATAGACATAGGAAACCTTGACAATCAGTATTGCTAAAAATATGTTTGAATGTGCTTGAAGTTAAGTATCTTCAATATGTTCTTTGCATTTACAGGCCTCTAGATCTCTATTCTTTATGTATTATTGAACAGATACATCATATTAGAAGTAAAATATCTAGTTTCAGGGTAGATAATAGATGTATGACTGTTGTATGTGAAATTTACTTTCTGTCAGATAAAAATTCAGATCAGCTGTTTTTTATTCCATACATGACAAAAAAATCCTTACCTGCATTGAACCAAATATTGCATTTACAGTTAAATCCAGTTTTAAAAAGTCCTAGAAACTATGACCATATCTTGGCTTTATCTATTCATTGTATTGGACTTTGCCTTCCCAATAAGTAAACAAAAATCTTGGAAACTCTTGTTTAAAAGGACAGCAACATTTAGTACAGAAAGCAGCCCAGGACAAGATTCCCTTGTAATGATATTTTGTCCCAACACCATTATGTAAGTTTGAAAAGCCAGAATATATTTATATCCCTTTTTCCTATTCAGCCAAGATTATCAAGGCAGCTAATGCAGAAAAAAGAAAACAATTAAGATTTACTTAAATGCCTAATATTAAAATAATTATAAAATCTTCAAAAAAATAAATCTTAAGCTAGGATAGATAGAACTATGTATGGTGCCCAATACAATTTATTCCATAACTCGGGAGCATCATGGAAAAAGCCCCTCTCCTGTATTCTGAACTCATGTCTCCAAAAAAGGGGGACCTTCTCAAAGATCTTTGGCATGATTGGAGTATTGGTCCAACCCTTGAAATTGTTCAGGTTAATCAGTATCTGCCAGAGCTATTTATTTATAGGATCACCATCTTAATGATAACTTCAGCTTAAAAAGTGGTATATTTTGATACTGGTTTGTAATCACACAAATCTTTTGGGTTTAGGATTTTTTTGAAATTAAAATATCTTGTAATTGCCTCTTTGAAGCAAGAAGATGGTCACCGTGTTTAAGCATGAAAGTAGTCACACCTTGGCTACTTTAACTAGCAGTGGAAATTCTAAAGGGTCAAGATCATCAAGACCTTCACATCTTCAAGATCTACAATGAATAATCAACTTTATCTGCTGCTGCAAATTGTTCATAGTCTACTGTTCCTCTCCATATACTAGAAAAGAAGATGCTATTCAGTATGGAAAAACAACACCAGCTTATCTGATCTGGCACAATAAGAATGGAAAAATATGATTCCTTGGTACCGTCACTTTACAGAATGCAAATAGGTGCTAGTATCTGCTCAGCCTGAGGTTCCTGAGATTTCTTTATCTGTGTTCAAACTGTCATTCCTTCTGCTTCATCATTTTTATTCTCCTACTTAATCAGAAGTCTGTAGGAGAGGGAAGTATTCTTTGAATCAACAGTGTCCACTGCCTGGGATTATTTTGTATTCTACAGATCAAACAGGACTTTTTTTTTTTTTTTTTTGACAAGTCATGCTCAGCGGCTCGGAAAAAAAGCAGATGCATTTATGCAGCCATTCAGATCTGTTAACTACCTGGAATGGACACTTTTAACCTACTATACCTACAGAGATTGTTATCTTCTATGAACATTTCACACAGACTCTTCAAACCTCATATTACCAACTCTTCTTGAACTGAATGCCACATCAAGAATGTATCCTGTTCCATGTATGGAATCTGATATTAGCTGGGACAGGTGTTCCCAAATCAGGAAATACTGTGCTGTTTCTTACTGAATGACTTCAGCACATTCACTGAATATTCTCAAGGACCAGAAGCCTGGCAAAATACAGAGACCGGGGTGTATGAGGTAGTTTCAGGGGGTATGAGGTAGTTCAGGAAGAGAAGTCTTTGGAGACTCAAAATCATAATGGGCAATCTGTACTCTCCTCACACATTTTTTATTGTTTTAAAGAGGAACTTAAACATTTAGATGTAATTCAGCAAAACAAGATTGATCTTCCTTGGAAAAGTTGTAACATGGCTTCATAGATATACTGTATAACTATAAGGCATGTAATAAAAAAAAATTCTTTTATCCATACTGCTTTCTCAACCACTATCTGCCATGCTTGATCTTGATTACCTCTGGCATTCAATTGCGTTCTGTGATTCTGGGCCTTGAAAATTATATTTTGTTCTTATGTCTGTTAATCTTTAAATGTCTTGGGGTGGAAAATCTAGTTCATTATGTCTAGGTTCAATCTATCAGTAATTGGTCACTCTGAATATTGAAAGCTAACAATGTTAACTGCTTTCTCAAGAGCTAAATGTGTACTAGAATTGTCATTTGGCAAAGATATCTCTGAGTTGCTTTGGAAAATATCAATAGATAGGGGGAACGGGGTAAGTGTGCTTTTCTTTTTGTTACATAAATTAGATGCAACCATTTATCCTGTAAACTGAATACATCAACGTATTAACAATTGTTTGAAATAGTGTTCAAATCAAATTGGCAATATGGAAGGTTTTCATGTATTTATGTCTAACGTTTTGATTGTTTTTACATGGAGCAATACAGAAAACTGCTCTGGGTAGAGTTTTCAGAAAGGGCTTTGACCACAAAGTTTATGAAGGATTAATGTATGTTTGTTCTCTTAATAGCAGATGGCAGAAGAAAGCAGAAACAGGTATGGATTTGTGGTCATTCCTATGTTTTCTGGGCAGAAAAACGGGCACTTGACAGAAGCTTTGTTCCACAATTGGGAATTCGACTGGAGGATGCCAAATTACATTGGCTAGGAAAGAGTGGAATGATGTGGGATCAATTAGTACCCACCCTATTGCATACACGACGGAGGCTAACAGATCCTGATATACTGGTGATCCATCTAGGAGGCAATGACTTGGGGATAACCAGTAATGCGGATGTCATAAACCGAATGAAGAAAGATTTTGGACATCTTAAGCAAATATTCAAGAATAGCATTCTAGTCTGGTCTAATATCATACCCAGGAAAGTATGGAATCAAGAGATACCCCATAGAGTGATGGAGAAAAGCAGGAGAAGAATCAATCAGGAAATTGGCTATTTTGTGCAGTATATTGGAGGAACTGTGATCCAGCATGATTTACTTGTACCAGAATCTCCTGGATTGTTCCATCTAGATGGTGTACTCTTATCTGAGAGTGGTACAGATATCTTCAACCTGGATTTACAAAGTGCTTTAGAAACATTGTTTTGATTTTTAACTGGAAGAAAAATGATACCCTTTATGCATTAACAGCTGTGGACTCTTTCTACAAATAGAAAGTTCTGAACAGCATGGTAACGTGAATTGATAAATAACAGATTTAGCCTAAGATTTAGCTTGGTACTGATTACTAATGCAGTTGTCTGTGACATTGTCCTATAAACTGCAAATAATTTTTTGTTAATGTGTTTAACTATTTTTTGCGAATTCAGTTTATTGGTTTTTCATTTATTTAAATTCACTTCTCATATATGTTGAATGAGACTGCCAAATAAATTTATTTTCAGTTGATCCCAACTCCACAAAGCTCTCACTGCAAGATTATAACAATCTACAGTATAAGTAACAGTTTATAAAGCTATTTCGTGTGAGTCAGATGGGATTAATTATCAAGTGTTATCACTATTGGGGTAGAAGTTAGTGCTGTCATCTATTGGCAGATGAATGACTTCATAATCCCCACCATATCTACATGTCTTAAGTTCTCCTGCAGAAGTTTGACAAGCCCTTTTGTGTATGCTTGAGGATCATGCACAAGGAAAGGAAAGAAAGGGAAATCCCATTACGTCAGCTAATGTATATGGATATAGCCCACTGTTAACCAATTCAGCATTGCACGTTAGAACATTTGTTCTTTTCAAACAGTGGGGGATTATTTAAATATAACGGGAAGATCAAATGAAGATCTAGTTTCTGACACATTGGTTTTTGAAAATACTTTATTTAGTTAAAAATTTAAGCAATTCTGTTTCACAATTGGGAATAGTGGCTGGTTTAAATGTAGTATTCCCAATTTAATACACATAATTTATTAAGCTAGGAATACTATTTTAGTCCCACACATTCTTCTCCACTTTTATGCCTTTTGTACCAGCTTTGATCCAAATCACAATATCTGTTACTACTGAACTGTGGTATAAAATTGTTTCATTTACTGAGCTCTTAATTAATAATATGCCTTGAACCATATCTATTTTTGGCATAATGGAAAATTGGTTTTAAAATGAGGACTAAAGAATTGCTTCTCCTTTGGAATTGGGGAGCAATTGTTCTAGATATGAGAGCTCTTAGACATGTAAGAAGGGTTTAAATGATTCATTTTCCTACTGCATGCAAAATAGTATCATATACTTCTTAGAGCAGTTATCATATATTTCTTAGAGCATAAATGGTATCTTAAATAACAGGGTTTACAAAAATATTGTTGCTATGGTTTTGTTAACTCTGAGTGAATACATCTTTTGTGATAATTAAAATGAAATTATAATTTTTTTCTGCCAATATTCCCACTAAGATAGCAAAGCACTTGTGAGTTTTTTTGTTTGTTGTGCTTGAAGAAAATCTTTATTTGAGTCGAAATGCATAAAGGTAGATGTTCTGCTTATCCCAGAGGTATTGTTGAACTGTTTGGCAGTAGCTCTATAAGAGAATTATGCCACTTTGTGCTTTGGCATCATTGATCTGAAACAGAATTTGCTTTGAAGGAAGGGAAGTACAATTTTAGAAGTAAGGAAGGAAACTTTAAAATATGGAGATGTGTATTTCCCTCCCTCCCAAAAAACTGACCTACTGTGCAATAACAATTTAGTTATTAAGGAGGAAACAATTTTGCGAAACAAATTAAAACAAGACTTATTTTGTCTTTCTATATTGAATTCAATTTACACTGCATTTATGTGATATTGTGACTAAGGTTCTTAACAAGCAAGAGGGAATTCGATATTAATCATTTATGTCAATTTCTGAAATGAATTCCTTACTCAAAAGACTTCCAAGTCTGCTGAGCCTCTAGGAGAGGAACTTTGAAAGCTTCAATCAGTAATGAACTGTATGACTGCCAGTAAGACAACAGGAATAGAATGTAGAAGACCGAGCTATGGAGATTGCATCTTTTAAATATTAACTTCATAGAGTAAAACACTTGAGCAGATTTATTTTATGTAATTTATCTTAAATATCTCTGAAGTTTCCAGCCAGATGAGAATTACACTACCTGTGAGACCAAATAGGACTGTGTTCAAATGTGAATGGCATGCTTACTTTTTCCCTGTGAGAGTTTAGAAGCACAACTGTTGAAAACAGCAGTTTTCAGACTACCTTTTGTATATTTGCTTGTAAAAGAGCATTTAAGCTCCAGTATTTTGTCAGGATTTATCTTTCATAAACTATTGACATTGGACACCTGTTTGAATTATCTGATTTCTATAATTTGGAGGGTTCTGTTTTAAAAATAATAAAACATTAGCCTTTATTTTTTTGTACTGTGTGATATTAGTGGGCATCTAGTAATAGCCTGCAACTTATTTTTCTCCAAATCCTGTTTTGAGGCCATTAAACGTCATGTGCTGACATGGCACTTAGTCTAATATCAGTTATATTGGAAACGGTTGCATTTTTCAATTATGTTGGATACTATGAAAATAAAGCAACCATATGCTATTTAAAAGCTGAAAGTAAATGTTGGCGCCAGTATTCACTGGCCATTGTTTATGGCTAAACATAATGGCTTTGATTCAAGCTTGTTTTTACCAGGACTTGAAAATGCCTTCCATTTGCATATGGTAATCTCCTGATTTTTCCTCTCAGAGTATTCATCACTGCTCTCCACTCTTGGGATACATGTTTTCCAAAGTGATTTTGGGTAGGAGGGGCACTGGGCTCTGCAAAGAAGAAGAGATGGGGGTTGATCTGTTTTACGAATACAGTTACTCTTCTTTGGAGAATAATTTGTTAAAATTATTAGAAGTTGGTGTTTCACAGTCACAACTACCGAATATATATTTACATTTGGTTAATCTGTATAAAATCATTGAAACAGCTGCAGTGAAAGTGAATGTACATGTCCCAGGATAATATTGCAGGATCCAATCTGGGTTGATCACCAGGACCAAAGATTTGGTCCTCTGAGCTTTCAGACCCGTGCTGGAGCCCATCTTCAGAGAACTCCTCTCTAGCTCAGAAGACTAAACCTCTGGTCCCAGTGACCGACCCAGATTGGATCCTGCGAACAACTACAGGGTTCATTCTCTCTTTGTGAATAAGCAATACTGCCATCAAGTAAAAGACCTATTATTGCATTTAAATATTAGTGAATAGTTTCTCTGTTCACCACCAATATGATATTCTAAATACCGTATCTCAGATTTCAATAATATACATATGTTTGGCAGATAATTACTTACCGCAGTATGCCTAGTAATGTGTTTCATAGGATTTCCTTGGTGAGCAGACTTCCATACAAACGCCACCATTTTAGTTCACTGTAGCACTACTGAGAAACTGGCTTGTACTAGTATTATTTTTTTTAAAGATTTCTGTGTCCTTTACATTAAAGAAAATATGATTGTTATATATTGTCCAGGTTCCTAACCTCACAGGACAACTACTTTTATATTCTACACTGATAATGACTCCTTGCATTTGGATGGCTCTTGTACTTCATAATTTGAAGGAGCTAAATTGGTGATGGGATGAAAGGAAGAGATGCTGTATTAGTGGTATAGCACATGTTGTACATGCGTAATGTCTTGGATTCCGTTTCTGGCATTTCTAGTTCAATGTAGCAGGTAGTAGATTCGGACTACAGTCTGATAGTTCAAAGAGCCTCTTCCAGGCAATCTGGCCAATGCTGGGATAGATGGAGAAGTGGTTGGGCTTGTCTCTGTTTCTCTGTTCCTAAAGAGATCACGTGTAGAGCTTTTGGTTCAGCCCAGGTGAAAACTTTAAAAATAAAAACCACTGTTTCAAGCTTGAAATAGGTCATTTTGAACTTGGAACAGTTTGGATTTGAAATGTTTTGTGTTATTGATGAAGTAAGTTCTTTTAAGTTTTTATTTGAAAGAGGGTGAAGAATAAACTTGGTGGCATTCTGGCATAGATGATGGTATTTAGCTGAAATAAATATTCATATTCCACAAATAGTTTATTTTTAAAATGTAAGATGATTTTGCATTTGCTAAGAAATTTTGGCAGATGTGTCAGGCAAGATTGTTGTTTAGCTCAGGATCACCTTCTTATTAGCTAAATCCAGTAAATATTTTATATCTCCCAAATAGTTTTCTCTCTAAGAGATGAGTTTTATAAATACTTGAGCTCTTCTGGGCAGGTTAGGAGAAGGTGAAGCAGAAGTCAAGATACTGTTTTCCCCCCCAGAAAATAATTCCCATTAAAAGAAATATAATTTTCCTATATATATATTTTTTTACCAAACAAGCAAATAAAAACTTTACTCACCATAATGCTTTAGGTGTTTCCACAGATCAGTTTTTACTAGACTGAAAATGCTGTATATCACAGTGGCTGTTAATTTGGATTTATAGATGTTCTCCCTTTCTTAAGGTCCTAATTTGGATTTATAGATGTTCTCCCTTTCTTAAGGACCAAGGACATTTCAGGCCAGAGCAAATTAATGAAGGAATCAATAGTGATGGTTTGTTGTCAGTCTTCTTTCTTTTAGATTAGAAAAGTGACTTTATTGTACCAAGAGAGTCTTAAGACTATTTCATTCTGAACTTGAATTGAGGAAAGACTTAGCACGTACATTCTTTGGAAGTCAGCAAGTCACCTGTTCAGCAATTCCTGTCTAGATTTATAACTTTAAATGTATTTCACTCTCTTAGATAGAATTTCTGCTGTGGATAGCAATTTAATCTATTTAGATTAAATTAAGAAAATAATCGACTGGTGTTAATATTTTAAGAGAAAAAAATCTGTCTTATGAGTGATACATATTCATATTCTATTAAATGCCAGTTTATTCAGCAGCCAAGTTCAGTGTTGGAGGCTGTTTTTCTTTTGGGCTTAATTTGTAGTCTATATACTGTAAGGTCACAGTACCTTAAGGTCACTTCTGAAACCAGATTCCATATGGTAAAGGTTAAATGTTTCAAGTATTCCTTGTAATAAATGTCTGTGTGCCACAGTATCTTCTTAGTGTGTGGCTAATTATGGAAGAAGGAAGGAGAAAATGTTAAGACTCATATTCTTTTATATATAAATATTTTTATTAAGTTTTATAAAGGTAATAGAGGAATGGGGTCAAAAAGGATAAGACAAAGAGATTAATCCCACAAAATAACATCGCTTCAGCAAGTCTACCAGTCCGGGTTTACATATTAAATCTTAATAATTACTCTATTATTAAACAACTCTCAATATAATCATGTAAATAACAAATTAGTCAGTAGCTCTCATTCATTTCACTACTTAACAATGCTTAGTATTAATTAATTATCACTTTAAAACAATATATTACATATTAATTATAGTTTACCATATTGTTTAAGATCACAAATATACAAAGAGGAAGAAGAAATAAGAACAAGTTCATACAAATAATCATGGAATATAAATACAAATTATCAATTATCTCTTTAAATTTCATAACCTTTTCTCATTCTAGCATGTTTCTAACCAATAATAAAAATTTTAAGACTCATATTCTTAAAGGAGTAAACCAAAATATTTTTTTTCTTGTTTGGAATATATAATTTTCCTTGGATCTTTGCACTTTCAACCCTTTTTTAAGACATATAAATTACTTTACACACACAAACACACATAATTTTATATATGATAATTTTTCTGGCCTTCAATTTGAGTTGTATGCAAGAGCTTCATAAATATGCAGTTGTGACTAAAAGTTAAATTTGTTTTTGTCCTGACAGCTAAGATTGCATAGTATATTATAGTTTTAGGTTGTAACTGTCTTAAGCTAAAGGGCTGACATTCTCTGGTGAGAATTGCTTTTTCATCAGGATGGATGAGAGGAAAATCTGTGAGAGAAAATTCTGACATGCAAGTTTATGTTGTTTAGCAGTAAAAATAGTGTAATGCAGTTGCTGGGGACAGAAGGTTACTGTGTGTATGTTGGGGGGAAGAGGAATCAGAACTGCATGCTGTAAATAAGGGTTGGAATGATTCTTGCACAGAACAGCCATGTCTTCTCCAAACTGGTGTGGAGACCTGAAAACAGGTGTGCCTGCTTTGATGTGATATTGTATTCAGGCTCCTGCACATTCCAAAACACTTCCAAATCACACAGTATGTGTGAAGCATTTTGTTTGCTGTAGGGCTTTTTGGGTAGTGAATTTATTCTCAGTAATGAGTGCCCGACTCTTAGGATATTTACAGATTTCATTGCTTGGGATGTTTGGATTTATTTTGCTACCTGTCTGTTTTGCTGTCTGTCTGAAAGCATTTATGGCTGCTCTCTCTGAAACATAATTCTGCTTGTTACAGACTTTGCTACAGTTTTTGAGAGTAGAAATTACATCCTAGGTTTACTGGCTTTTTTTGTTTTTGTTTCTCTTAGGTAGCTAAGGTTTCTATTAGGTAGCTTAACTGAGAAATATAAAAGCGATTAAGTAGTATCTTAATTTATTCTGTTGCATTTATTGGCAAAATATGGATATTGTACAAAGAGAGATGTTAGTCTCTGGTGACAAAATATTAGGAACCTAGTGGCACCTTTTCTGGCGGAAAAGTATTTATTGAAAGGCAGAAGTTTTTATGAGCTACAGCTCACTTCATAGGAGTATTATGTCTGTTTGTATTTATTCTAGTTTTGGTACATCTCATGAATTTGCATTCCATCTGGCTGAACGTGATGCTTGTTATCAGTAAAACTGGATCAATTCCCAGGAGGAATTATTAAAAAAAAGAAACAGAACAACAGAACTCCACTGGTTGTTACCTACAACTCACACCTCAAACTACTCAAATGCATTAGCAATAAGCTACAGTCATTGTAGCCACCCAACTTAAAGCAAATTTTCACAAGCAACATAAAACAACATGGGAACCAGACCATGCAAAAAAGACAGATGTCTGTTTTGCATCCCCACCCTCCATTTTATCCATCACAGGCCCCAATAAGTATACCTGCCAGACTGAAGGCACTTAAATGCCATCATATGCTAGCAATACCTTTCTGAATTCTGCCTAGAACAAATGGGGCAAACTTTGTTCAAATGAATTAATGAGCACAAGTTTGTCATTAGAACTGAGAACAAGAACAAAGTAAGATCAGAGCATTTCAACCTCTCAGGGCACTCCATAGGAAAAAAATATCTTAATAATTCTTTCTATATAAATCAACTCATATTTCTTTGATAGTCAATTAAAATAAAGGCAGGTGTCTGCTGAGAAATACTTAGCGAAAGAAAGAACTGTGACCTTTGCAGTAGATGGTGAAAGTTGTGGTTGGCACATATTTCCTTGTGTAAATAGAATATAGGACAAGAAAATAGAAAAACTGGGTCTTGCTGACGGATAAACCTTTTGCAATGACACATGTAAAAACGGTCGTAAGGAAAGTAGTGGTGAGAACAAGGACAGGGAAGAAAAGGAAACTGACTCGGTAACCAGGACAACAGAACAAGAACAAGGAACTAACCCAGTGGTCAGTTCCAAGAAGAAGGAACTAAGAAAGGTGCTGTTCCAGAAAGTCATGGTTTTAACAAGGAAAGGGAAATGGGACAGATATTGGGTGGTTCCAGAAGTCAGGGGTGGGCACAGTGCTGAGGTATAAAACCTGCCTCAGAGATGAGGGCATTGCCATTTGGCCATCACACTTAATGACTGCTTGTCCATTTGGCCCTTATTGCAATAAGTTATTGAAATGTAAGTACTGAATTTGTGTGTTAAATTTAAATAAACCTCTGGATCTTAAAGTGAGACTTTTGCTGTGTGTTGTCTCTTGTCTCAGTTAAACAAGTTTTTCCTCTGATACCTCAGAGGACCCATTTTTGGAAAAGTGTGAATTTAACAGCCACATCAAATGTAATTTTTGAGCTGGGATACATCAAAATGTTTCAGACAATGTCAGAAGGTCTTAAGAAACACAGTGGGTTTTTAACACATTACGATTGTTAACTGATACTGCAATTGTAGTCTGTCTTCCATGTAACCTACATCATTCTCTTTTTCCCCACACCTTACCTCAATTTAAATCCTACATTAGTCTATCTAATCTGCACATCTGATTTGTGAGCTACAGCTCACAAAGGATTATGCCTTTCAACAAAAATGGACTTCGTTTGTTAGCAAAAATGTTAGCAGAGTCCAGATTCTCTAAGGCAAAGGGTAGGTGAATTTGAAATAAGATTATTACATGCAATTTCGCCTGCACTCTGTTATTGTAAATCATGGTACCCTTTTAAAAATAAGAGAAATTCTATATTGCAATTTTATTTCCTTTTCTATTCTAATTGAATTTTATTTTTTGGTACCTAAGCACATTAATATTGTAACTATAACTACACTTTCCTATGTGTAAAAGTGGCGTTGAAAACATACACAATTGACCTATATTGTTCTTTTTCTTTATTTGTTTTCTGTGTTTGCCATTTGTTAGACTTTTGCTTGGGAGCTTTAAAAAAATTGTTAAAACCAGTTTGGAACTCTTTATTTGCCCATACAAATAGAATGCATCTAGCAGCATTATCGGCCTGAGTTTTTCCACTTCATTTCATTTTTCAAAATATGCATGTCCTTTAAAGTATTACAATAAAACTGTTAATATCAAGTAGTGTAAAAATGGTGGTTTTTCATGATGAAATTAACTTTATGAGATTTTCAGTATGTTTCCTGGCAAACTGAACACTCTATCCAATATACTCTGTAAATTGTATTTTTAATATACTGCATAATATTGGTATTTGGGGAAAATTATATTTATTGATGCAAAATGTCTAGAATTCTTCTAAAAATGTTTAATTGATGTAACATTTGTTATGCCGAAGGATTTCTTAGTTTGATACCAATTTTCAGAGTTCTTTGTATATGGCAGGCTTGCTTATTTTCAAGAGAAGAGAGATTTTAGGGGAAAATGATCAGCATGATAGACATTCAGAATCTCAACTAAATGTTTTTCCTAAGACTCAAAATGAAAGTATGAAAAAGAATAAGAATACTTTGATATCTGCTGAAATTCATAAATGAACTTTAAATGCATTGAAAAGAATATAGAGACTGTACTGTTCAACCATCCTTCATTAGATTCCGAACCTGAAGATTTTATATTCAGTTTTGTTGCACACCATTAAAACCTGAATTTAGAAAAGTGAAAGCCAGAAGAAAGAAAATTTTAAAATGAATTACAGCATATTCTTCAGCATCATGGTGAAGTTCAAAATGAAGTAAATAAGAAATTTGGATCAGAATCTGTGGCCCTGAAAGTCAATTTCAATCTGAAGATCAAACCAAAATAAATGAAGTTGACAAGAATGGAAATTACAGGAAGAATAGACATTTTCAGTAATTCACTATTTTTTTTTGTTGAGTGGACACTTCAAAAATATTAGTTTTGTATTGATATGTATTGATTTGGTATTACTGGAATGGACATATCAGAATCCCTTTCATAATCTGGATGCTGCTTCAACAATGGAAACATCTTAAAAGAAACAAAAAGGACTCATGTTTTTGAAAAAAGGCTGTGATTTAGAAGACAAATGTTAATATTAAGAACATTTATGGATGCGGCAAACTCAGACTACATGTGAAACCTGTGGCACTTTGAGTTGGTGTGTTAAGGTAAAATACAATTTTTATCATAAAGTGCTGTTCCTAATTCTTGCTATTTTGGATACTGTTGTAATACGTGTAACTTAACTTTTTAAAAAACACTTAACAGAAAAATCTTGTAAATGATATCAATTAAGAAATGGGGCATTTGTTACAAAATTTGATATCTAAGAAAATTCCTTAGTCAATGTTATTGGATAGGAGATGATGGAAAAACTTTAGCTTGAAATGTGGTGTGTGAATTTCTAGCCCAAATGTTTGAGAAGAAGAATTAAAATAAGAAAAAATCATTTGTGCATGACAAATACCTGGCATCACATGTCAAATGATCATAATATATGCCCTGTAGCTTTTTATGACTAGTATGGAAACAAAAGAAAATTTGTATAAAAATAAAGTAGTGTTTCTTTGTTTTCATCAAACAATAATTAGCAGTAGTAGTCTGAGATAGGCACATCTTACATTTTCCTAATAAAAATTTATATTTATGGTGTATCCACCTACATCTGAGTAATTCAAGTGCACCAGATGCTTATGAAGTTTGTATTTCTAAGAAAGGCCTGCTATTTTATCAGCATAAATTAATAAATATATGGAAGCCTAATGAGTCTTTTTGCTCTAGATGAAATCTCCTAGAGAATTTAGAGGTTTTTATA